TGGTTCATGGCCTAATTCATCATAAAATAACACATCAAACCTAATTATACAACTCTTGAAATGACTGTATGAACGTTTTTTTCTGACTTCTGAGACAATCACTTAAAGTCCTCAATATCAGTCAGAGCAGTGTCTGTCTGCTGATGAAGATCAGCGCTGACGTTTTTCTGTTTACAGTATGCACTTCTCTTTCTCTCTGCCTCCCCAAGCCTCTCCTCTCCTCACATTTCACAATTTTCCTGTCTCACCTCCCTACACCCGTCTCCTGCGGCCACACTACTGTACACACCCCGTAAACTTTAAACAATAGCTGAACTTCATCCCATTGTGGTCCAAGTGGCATGGCCCACTCCAGACAGCCCATCAACTGACTGGACCCTCATTCTTTCCTGTTCCCTGCTCAGGCATGCAGAAACACACACATCCATATACACTCTTACGTACAGAAGAGCTTTCAAGTGCATGCGCCTCACAGGGACGCGGCACATTTTCACTCAAAACGATTTCAAATTCCTAAACCCGCTTAAAGTCTGCCAGAGAAATAACAGCAGTTGGAGTTAAACATTAACAGTCCAACTGCCAAAAGAGTAAAACATAAAACATTAGACTGCTACACAGAAGCCACAGCAGAAATAACTCCTCTCTGTCTCTCTCTGGGCCTATTAGCGAGGAGGTTTCGGGCCACAGTGCTTCTGGTAATGAGCCCGGCAGCACAATACAGGCACCGGGCCGGAACAGCTGAGGGCAGACAAAGCTGGCAGGACGGGGCGACTGGGACTTACTACATTTAACACAGAGCCATACTAACACTGTGTCAGTGTGTGAGTCTGTGTGTGTGATGGAGGAAGAGGCATGTGTCCCATCACCATTATGGGGACAAACTCAAAGACAGAATGGGGGCCCCTGGAGAAATTGCTGCCAAAAAGCCAGCAGAGGAGTGTGTGGCAATCAGTGGGATGACGGGTCGGGGTTGTCCTGCGTCAGTCATCTGGAAAGTTCTCCACTTATGTCCGGGCCCGAGACACTGGGCCAACTAATTCAGCCCGGGCAAATAAGTATTATGTAGGCCGACAGAATTTGCCCGTCTAAATGAGCTGCAGAACACGCTGTTGTTTTAAACGTTGAATGGTAGCGCTGCTGTGTGGGCCCCATGTTTGTGGCCCTTGAGAAAACCAAGATTGTGTGAGTGAACCCATCACCTTGTTTGTTCATTGTTTTGGACGAAGCATGACGGATTATTCTGATCTCTTTGTTGTCTTTTTGCAATGAGTCATTATCTTTTGCTCTGAATATTTGTGAGATTCTTACATTGTTGTGTTCACTTCCGCAATACCAGCTTTCCATTGTCCTTTGGATTCATAAACAAGATAAAAGGTGCCATTGTGCTTTGACCCACTCCCACTGCACATTTCTGTCTCTTTGAATTGTGTAAGCTGTGTTTTTCTATACTTTCCTAAACCAAAAATCCAATAATCAGGTCCACCTTATGCAGTGATTAGCCAGGTGTGCCCAACATGACAATAGGCAGAATTTTAAATTCTCTCTTTATCCATCTTCACACTTAAAACTACTCCCATCACTTATACAGCCATGCATGTACAAAGAAACAAAAAACTTAAAACCAAAGTCATTAAAAAGCATCCTCATATGGACATGAATATCCATACTTAGTTTCATGGTAGTCCAAACTACTTTCAAGCTGTCAACCACATCTCTCGACCTTCCTCAGCCTAAATCTTCAAGATGCATTTGAAATCATCAGCAAGAACAAGGTCGTCGGCAACTTTGTACTTCTGATAACAAAACTTTCAAATGTAAAAACCAATAGATGGTAAGACATTGTCCAAAGGATCACCAAAGTGAGGAGGATTCATCCTCTGGGAACATGAATAACAAAAGAAAAATCAGTCAATGTAACTGAATCCTTTGACCATTGATCATCAGTGACCATTACAGTCCTAACAAAACTTCATAGCTATCCATCAAACAGCTGTGGAGATATACTAGTCTGGACCAAAGTGGTGGACCGACCACCCGAATGTTGAGAGCCTCCGAACACCTGAGCGGACTTCAAATGACAACACCTTCCTCACATTTCAAGAAGATACCTAATCTCCTCCACCTTTAACCATAATGCACCTGGAACAAATGTGCCAGTCAAACAGAGGGTGTTTCTGTGTGGAGCAGCGAGGGGAGGAAACACAGGTGCCCTGTGTCCGACCAGCCTATTAAACAACACACCGGCCCTGAAGGCAGGAAGCTGCTATTGACTGGAAGACATCAAGAAAAACGCACCTTTCAAAGCACACACACATTCAGCACTATACACACACACACGGAGGTGGATAAAATCTGCCAGGTATCAGGTACTGCCCTGAGGGAGCGGGTTGACCTGTGGAGGCCGGGGGGAGTCAAACACACAACTCATTCAACATCACAACAGTTCCCGATAATGCGTTTTTATCCTTCAACTGCACCATAGTTCAAAGATAATCCTTCAGAGAAAGAATGAATGCAAATATTCATAGATCTGGAGATAAGATGGAGGAGATAAATCCACAAACATTCTTGCTCTGCTTTCTATACGTCGCTTTAACCCATGGAGCGCCCACCGGTGTGTTTGTCCTGCATCTTAAAAGGCCACCGAGTCTGTGCCCGAGGACTGTTGTCAGAGGCAGGAGTGTGTGTGTGGAAGAGGAGAGGGCAAAAAGAGGTCATGCGTTTAAATGCCCTTAAGCAAGGCACTTGCCTTTACCCCTTCTCAATGAGAGGCTCCTTTGCTACAAAAAGCCAGCATTTGTTAAAGGGCTCTGATGAAAATCTAAAGAGAGATTCATGCTTGGGTCTGATAGGCAAATCAAATGAAATGTCTGGCCATGAGAAAAGCAATACTAATGAGTGTTGTCTGCAGAGGGAAGAGTCCGGAAGGGAAATATGTTTTTCTCCAGTGACTCCCATTACTTACTTAAATCAAGTTACAGCGATAAAGGAACAACACTTCTCACTGAAAATTATACTAGTGTGGGATTTCGTTCACTGCTGGGTTTGTATAAAAAGTACAAGACATGTCTGGTTTAAGTGGACGCTTGGAGAGAATAAGAAGCGTGTTTAGTTAATGTCTCGGTGAAAGAGGCGAGTGGAGTCTAAGTGAAAAAACAAAACCACTGAAAGGACCAAAGAGAGGCTTTGAGGGCCCTGGACGGAGAAATCACAACAGCAGCAGTCAAGAGCGAAGGATGGAGGTGGGGCTGTTTTTTCAATAGCCAGAGTGGGAGAAATCAAGTGTTAGTCGGATAAGAGATAAAAAGTAACAAGTAGAGCGTGCGATGGGGTCAGCAACAGATGGAGAATGTGCGTCAGGAGGAGCATTCAGGCCGGGAAACAAACAGGATGAATCGGAGTGTTTACAGTAAAGTTTATGTTTGCTGGCACTGTTTGCAGGTGCTGATATTTACAGGGCATTTCAGAGTGGATGTTGAGCAATGTTCAACGCAAAGTAGTGCGAGAGGGGGAGGAGGAAAGCGTAAAAAAAAGGCTGACCTTACGTGTCGGGGTCTTTATTTTTTTCGAGCCTATGCTGGACAAGCCCCTAATGATCACAACTTGAGCTCTTGCCTTTTTAATTACCCAGCCAGGCCTGACTGAGTCTCACAAAGCTCGAGAATGGAGTGGCGCAGATGGAACAAAAACAGGCCAATTCCTTGGGAAGGATGCCCTCTGAACCCAGCAGCTAATGCAGCCCCTGCTGCTCCAGCCATCATTATTGTTGTTGGAGAGAAGGAGAGGGATGGCACTCCAAAACAAGGCCACCACCACCGCTCAAGTCATGGTCCACAGGCAAAGTGAGAAGAAGCTTTTGGTGGAGAGGTCCGGTGTGACGCCAGCACACAACAGGCACCTCCAGCACAGATTGGGTCCCAGACAGTATTAAACATTTCAATTTGATATGAAGAATAGCCACTAATGGCCGCCTCTTGCTGTAACATTTCGTCACAGCCCCGAGAGCATGTAGGTTAGTCGAGATGGCGTCGCCTTTCAGCGTGGCCTCCCGCCTCTCTAGAGGAGCGATGATGGCCCCGGGCCCCTGTCACTCACGAGGCCCATCAGTCACCCTCATCTGCAGAATCTGACTTTATCTTAATGAGTTGTTGTTATTCCTGTGAATGAATGGAGACTGCTTCCATTAATAGGACAAGAAGTTGAGCATTATCACGTTAACTATCACCGCAGATGATCAGTTAAAGCCGATGTGTGTCAAGGAGGGAAAATCTTAAATAAATCTGAACGAGGAGCTTCGGATTTAATGAAACGTCCGATTGTCCAGCCTTGATCCAATCCGGACACCCAAACAGTCCCTGTCCGTATTGTCTGTGTTCTTCATTGCGTTTCCTATTGTCACATCACATTCCTGTGTGAGTGTGTGTGTGTGTGTGTGTGTGTGTGTGTGTGTGTGTGTGTGTGTGTGTGTGTGTGTGTGTGTGTGTGTGTGTGTGTGAGATTTGGGGAGGGGGGTCTTAATTCCAGACATCCTGCTCTTATTGTTGACCGCCCCAGGTCGACTGCTGCTCAACATGTCAGGCTGAAAGAGAACAAACTGGAGCCCGTGCCAGTGAGAGCGATAACACACACACACACACACATGCACCAACGCGCACACACACACATATTCACACACTCCCACTCTTGTCTGCCTTTTTGTAGTTCAGAAGACTAGTAACAATAATCATTCAGATGAATACATGCAGTATTAAAAGTGCGCCGTGATTTAAACAAACTATCTTGCCGATTTTCTGATTTAACTCGAGGTATACAGTATACTAGTTTGATCAATCTGTAACTCTCACTGTGGCCCTGTGACTTATATTAATATGTTTAAAGCCTTCTTCTTGGTATACGTTTCATAAAGAACGTTTTTTTGGATTGGAAAGTACATTTTCATTTTTTTTACAATGTATAAGATTATGGAAGTGCAATCAGGATCAAACACACACACAACAATCTTTTTACTGTGTTAAAATAATAAGATTATTTTTAATAGTAGTAATCATAATAATAATAATGATAATAATAATAAAGCATTCTACATTTTTCTAAAAAGTGCAACAAAATCTGAAAAATCCTAAATCTTCCTTTTTCTTTGTTTTTAAGTTTATTAACTTGCACAACTGCTGCAGCTCCTTAGTAAGTTTGTTTGTATCCAACACAACAGCTGCCAAATACCTGTAACTGTTGAGCCAATCATTGTATTTGTTGTATTTCAATTCAAACTTACCTACAGGAATCTCAGATCAGTATTAACATCAGTAAATAGTTTTACCCATATTGAAAAATGCAAAAAGTAACATTTTATTTTTGACCTAAAAAAAAATACATCACATTTTGGAAATAAACCCTTCATTTAAAAACAATATGTAACAGAGACATCCACATATTATACACATATTAAAACCATAAAAGTGCAATGGATTCTGTTTTGAAATCATCCTGTCCCAGTCACTCACTCACAGTTCTGTTGTACTACAGCAACCTCTAGTGGTTGACGTGTTAAAAGGCAGAATATTGCCCTAGGTAAAAAACAATAACAAATGAAAGCAAAGTTGTACCATTTTGAGTACCATAAAAAAACAGAGTTAAGACAAAAAGCTAAATAAATTATGTCCAGACATTTTGAGTCGCTCAGCCAATGAGTCAGGTTCCCGCTTTGTATCCTGAGAGAGATTGAGGGTTTTGGATTCCCTGAGATTTCTTTTTGTAAAAGTGCAGAAAAAAAACCTCCTGAGTCAGATATCCACAAAATAACAGTCCCACCAGCATGTTTCTAAAATCCGCTTTTCTTTTTATCGGTCATAAAAATACCTTTTAGTTCTCTTTATTCCATCGAGGAACAATGGTCCTGCGGTAAGTCCGTCTTTCTGAGATGTTACGTCTGACTTTGATCACCGTCGGGGGGGCCATCTCCAGGTCCAGAGAGGGGCTGGAGTGGGACTTTATCAGCCTGCCTTCCTCCTCCTCCTCCTCCTCTTCCTCCTCCTCCTCGTCCCCCACAGAGTCTGCAAACATAGCTTTATCAAACTGCTTCAGGTCTGTGATGTTCAACACACTGGTGCCGGTCTTATTCGCTGCCTTCCATGCCTCCAGGCACTGGATGTAGATCTCATAGCGGCACATCTGCGAGGTTATTGCAAAATTAGTTATAATCAATTTTTTTAAATATAATAATATCAAAATGATGTAATTTCAGCTACTTAAATGTGAATCTTTTCTGCTTTACTTACTCCTTTAAGGTCTCCTATCATGCAAAATGCACTTTTTGATGTCTTTTATACATCAATGTGTCCCCGGTGTGTCAGGAGACTCACAAAGTGTCCGAAAATAAAACCCTCTCTTTTCCTCCGTACCCAAATCTCTAAAACGTGGGTTCAACGGAGCTGATCCAGATTTGCTGCCGATATTACATTATATCGGAAATGTGGGCAGGCTTTCTTTTTCTCGGTTCTCGTTTTTTTTCTTCTTTTTTTAAAAGCTACAGACCCAGAATCAGCACTTTAGTAACAGGGCTGAAATAGAGGGATATGAGGCATGGCTGATCTGTTTGGTATTTCGAGCAAAACACTTCATAGAATTGTTTTTTATATATCTGAGACCTGTAATATATCCCTAAGAATAGTATAATAGGAGACCTTTAATGGCATTCAACCGAATATACTATGGATTTCAACACATTGGAGGACATCATCTTGGAAAACAATGATTTTCATGGACGTTTTTCACTATTCCCTGACATTTCATATGACAAACAACTAATCTATTACTTTAGAATAATTGTTTGATGCAGTCGTATTTTTCCCTCTTGTTCACACAAGCTTTGCCTGACAGCGCGGTCATTACCTCATGCTGCAGGTACTCCGCCCTGACACGATGCTCCTCCAGCTCCCTGGCTTTGGCCTTTCTGCCCTCTGGCAGGTTCTCATGCAGGTACGACAAGTCATCCTTAAAGGACACCAGCATTCCTGCATAAGACATCAGCTGACGCTCCTGCACAGGGAGGAGCAACACATACAAATGAAAATGCATGACATGCTAATTCTGCTGAGGAAAAAACAAAAGAATGGGAGGACACAAGATTTACCCATTACTCTATTACATCTGAAGAAGAGAATTGTTCAAGGAGAGTTCCATTATTAAAGGAAATGTGCATTATACGACTAATGTGTACATTGTAATCTTTTTTTCTTTAAGCTGGAAGAAAACGTTCAGTGGGATTTGTGAGAAATGAAAAGGCACCTTTGTTCAATTCAGCCTCAGATTATTTTATGACCAGTAGCTTATAGGGAAAGAAGATAGTTTTATTGCTATTTAACAGAAAATGTTTTGGTATCATCTAGGATTATAACAGAACTGTTTCATGTAGCCACAGTGGCCACCGTTCAGCCGAATGTACATAGTGTCACAAAAGAGATTGTTCAAAAATACAAATGTGAAGTTTTTTTCTAAATAGAGAAAAAAAAGCAGGATTAAAAAAAATTGTGATTTTAGGAAAATAGTGTTAAAAGCTGTTCATGTATATCAAGGTATTTGCTTATATGTCTTGTGAATTATGACGTTGAAGTTTCAACAGGTTTTTTGAGACTGACAATGCAAAAAACGAGCTAGATTCATAGCACAAGTCATTAAGTGTAACACTAAGCCGATCATCTAATAAATATTGAAATAACGTAAAATCGTACACAAAATTGTAAATATAAGATGTGAGAACAGATAAGAGGAGTATGGGTGTGTACCAGGGTGAGAGCGGACTGTGAGCAGGGGAGGACCGGTCTGAAGAACTTCCTCTGAGAGCCGACAGCGGCGGGGAACGGAGGCGAGGAGTGGAGCGCCGAGACCAGGTTTATGCGGCCGATCCACGAATACATCTCCAGTTTGGATCTGAGCGGAAAACAAACAGAGACAATGATTTTCCGACTCCTTGACACACACACACACACACACACACACACACACACACACACACACACACACACACACACACACACACACACACACACACACACACACACACACCACACACACACACACACACACACACACACACACACACACACACACACACACACACACACACACACACACACACACACACACACACACACACACACACACACACACACACACACACACACACACACACACACACACACACACACACACACACACACACACACACACACACACACACACACACACACACACACACACAGCTGGGACTTACGGGGCCTGGAAGAGGAACACCCTCCAGTCGGCCGTCTGCAGCCGGAACACGTGAGGCTTCTTGTTGTAGTCGGCCGCCTGCTCGGCCAGAGAGTGGTGCACGCTCACCACCACCTCCTCGCTAGTCGGCTGCTCCTTCCTGTAATCATCCTGACACACACAAACACACCACACATTTCCTATACTGAGGCAAAAACAAATATTTCATGATGGCATTGAGTGCTATTTAAAAACCCTTATTAAGGCTGTACCAAGTGTACCGAAGCTTCTTCCATTGCGTTGACATTTGACTTCTAAATCAACATTTGAATGCTGCATTTTTTTCTTCCTGTTTAAACCCTGATTCAATTCATTTAGGCTACACTAAAATTATCAGTGTTATATCAAGTGTAGAATTAGATTATAGCGATGGCTGTGTAGGATCTTTTCCTATTTCTGTGTTAAAAACATTGCCAATAACTCCAGTGTTCTCCAATAGACAAACTAAATGGCAAGAAAGATGTTATTGATTCTATTAACAACATTTTTCATCTCACAAAACATTTAGTTTCTTTCTTTCTTTTTAGGGTGATGACATCATAACATCTGATGACAGGCATTCAAAGCTTTATTTGAAAATGCTTCGAATGTGAGAAATAGAAAGACATTTGGTACAGCCATTATACTAACGGATAATCCTGAAAAACTAAGAGCTGTGTTACCGACCTTCTGCAGGTAGAGGACCATTCCCCTCAGCACCCCGTAGAAAGTCTTCCAGCCTCTCTTCCCCCACGGAGCTGCAGCACAGAAACATTCAGCAGGTGATTAACTGACAAGAGCGCTAACCCATGGTGTTATACAGAATACAAATAGACAATCAATAGGTCAAATAATAACACATTTAAAATGAAGAAAAACTCAAAGGAAACATACAAAGCATTAGAATAAACATTTACAACACCACTGCCACATTATAATTTGCATTCTCATATTGTCCTGTAAGGGTCAGAGTTTTGCCTCCTCAGGTTGAGGCTGAATGACTGTGAAAAATGTTTTATGTGTGCAAATATAATTTTACACAGTTAAAAAAGTTGTCCAAATTAAGTGTTTCCCTTTAAAATAACAATTTGAGTAAATAATGACTGTTTCTTAGATGATTCTCTTACCAGCTGCTCTGATTTTGCAATACATCTGGTCTAAAGACAAGGAAATCCTCAGTTCAACATAATGTTATGTTCCCCAACACACGCCTCACCAAAGCCTGTCTGACATAGTATCTAATGTTGCTGTTGATGTTTTAATGTCAAAATAACTAAATCATTGATATTGTTTTAATATTGGAATTATCTTCAGAGGTATCCTGACGTCTGTGTCTCACTCACTGCGTTTGCCGTCGATGTCGGCATGCAGCTTCCTCAGGAGGAACCCCTGTTTGACCACAGAGGCCGTTTTGTCGTGAGGAACGTCCTGGAAGGGGTTAGCTTCTGAACGCAGCGGCGCATCTACTCTGGTGTCATCGTCCGTCAGCACAGAGCTCTTCAACTCCTCTTCGTCACTTTAAGATGCAAAATGACATATGTAAAGCATGAAGAGGAACAGATGATGTGAAATTACGTTATATAATATTATTATCAGTGCACTTACATAGCCCACTCCAGCGGCTCACTCTTTATTGAATTATAAAGACTCTGCAATTTAGACAAAGAGAAACATTGTTAATTATTGAATTTCATTTTGCTTTCTTATCAAATCAATTCAGTGACAGTATTACCTTTAAGAGATCCTTGCTGAAGTTTTCTTCTTCGTTCATCCCATCCAGGTTAGACACAAATTTAGACGAGGACATGCATTTTCCTACATTCTGTTAAAACACACAAAACAATACATGATTTACTAAATGTTACCTGATTTACCTCACAGAGATCATCTGGTAAATCAGTGCAGAAAACATCGTAGGATGGTAAACAGTCATAAATATGTCCCACCTGCCCGTGCAAGTCAGTGTTGAGAAGCATTAAAGCGCACGTGAGAGCCAACACAGACTCTGGGGAGGGAAGAAAAGAGGGGAATTACACATCCATCACATATGAGCGCTCAATGCTGTATCTCAAGCAGAAAACAGCCTGATGGAGGCTCACCTGAGGAGGTGAAGGTGTCGGGGTTGCACTGGTGGAAGCGGCAGGCGAAATGCTGCAGCACACGCTCTCTCTCCTGCGTCTCTCCGATCAGCACCACCACTTTCAGAAAAGATCTGCGATAGAAGGAAGCGCAAAGAAAGAAAAAAAGATTACGAGATCTTTTATGAGCGTGTTTTGTTGCATTTCAGGCTCCTAGAATTCTTACCTCAGGGCATGATCGAGAGTTTCCCCGGTGAAGTCAAAGAGTTTCAGGTATTCCTCCCCGACAGCACGACTGAAGTCATTGCTAAACAGAGACACAACACATTCTGTATCAGCGTTTTGACTACTTTGTACCTTAAAAATCATATATTTGGGTCACAAAAGGAAAACATTCAAATGATTGACAATATGTTGTGAATGATCATTTGTGGCATTTAATATAAATTGGATGCAAAGGAAGAGGGTGTGGTTTGGATTGTTTGAAAAAGACATCTTGTTGAATATGATGGCCAAGATAATATATATCAGAATGATTATAAGAAATGAGTGTTCAAAATAAAGTCAAAAAGATTTAAAAAACTAAACAATTTAACTGTAATTTAAAATAAAGTATAAAATAGTCAATGAAATCTATAGATTTAAAAAAAAAAAAGTTAAATATCATTACCCCTTGTTTGTGCATGTCCGCTTATATTTAAAAAAGGTCTTTATGCTAGTTTTTATCAAACACATTTGTTTGTATGTATAGTTTCTAAATATTTAGGTGTGGAGAGCTGAGACAAAATATCTTGAATCAGACTTTCTGTGAGAGTGATCTGGCTAAAGCAGCCCCTCTAGCAGCACAACAGCCTCAGCTGTCGGTAAAAAATAAAGGAAGGTTGGAAAATATCTTAATTATAATATATGCTTACTCTTTGTCTAAGTGCTTCACCACATCTGCACGTTGGACATCCTCCAACTTGAAGAGCCGCAGAGCGAGGCGGCGGGCCATCTCTCTGTTCACCTCGTCTATGTTCATTTGAGGCGCTGCAGTCACAGGAGGTGGCTGCTCTCCATTTGCTACGACTGTTTGCCCCGCTCCATCCTTAGCACCTCCGTCTTGGTCACCCTGATGTGACGTCTCCGCCTGTTTGTCCACCTGATTGAACTCGACCTGGGTGTCTGGAGACAGCTGCTCTGTTGTTTCTGACTCATCTGTCTCTGGCCGCACAGCCTGCTGGGAGAGCGCCGGCCGAGACAAGTCGCTCGTTTGCGGCGTCTGCTCATTCTGCACCGATGGCTCCGTCTGTTCTCGCCGCTCCGTCTCCCCGGGGTCTTCAGCTTCAACGCAAACTGTCTGCTCTGACTGAGTGGAGTCCTCTGGTTGAGTTAACTCTCCTGTCATCTCTGGTTCCAGATGTTGTGACTGTCCTAACTGGTCAGAGTCTTGAGACACCTCTGCTTGAATCTGCTCTGACTCTTCATTCACCCCCAGCTGCTCGGACTCAGCGTCTTCCGGCTGAGAGAACAGCACTAAATCTGGTAATCTGGCTTGGTCACAATCACGTTGATCTAAACAACTCGTCTCCTCCAGTTTCTCCACTATCTCCGGTGATTTTTCTACGCTCTCTGTATGATTTTTAGCAAGTTTTGACTCTCCTTCGTTGTTGTCCTCAGCCTGTGACTGTTCAGAGTCCTGATTTACACCTTCGCACATTTCTGGCTCTTCAGGCTGGCTCGCTGTGGGATCTTCATGTAACCGTTCCTCTATCTCTATGTCCTCATCAGTCCCAGAGTGCCGCCTTTCTTCCAAGAGATCAATTATCTTATCTGGGTGTACGGTTGGTCCAGAGTCAGCAGCTTCTAGTGGCTCTGCAAGAAGCTCCCTTCAAAGTGTGGATGAGAAATGCACTTTAGTTAATTAGTGTACTTCTCTTGAAAGCACTCAATGGTCCCTGGCATTAAGACATCTCTTAGTTATGAGGCATCCAGACCCTTATGATCGTCATATATTGTGTTCTCAGGATAAACATCAAACAAGGTAAAGAAGCTTTTAGTTTATATTAATAAAACAAGTTTCCCGAATACCTGATGTCTGCTCAACTGTCCTCATTTAAACCAAGGCTTGAAACAGTGTTTACAGCTGATTTCCAATGAATTAAAATCGTCATTTTTGCATTCTTTGTTGCAATTGTTTTTTTTATAAATTATTATTTTTATATATTATTTTTCTGATTTTTTTCATTTGTATTTTTTTTGTAAATGCCATTTATGTAATATAAATCTACACCTGTAAACACTTTGGATTTCCTTGTGCCTGAATGGTGCTCTATAAACAAAATGGCCTTGCCCTATAATAGCACATTACGCTGTATCATGATTAACATTACGGATGCAGTTTCTGGTAAAAGACACTTCCTGTTCCCCTTCTTAACTTAGGTGTGTTTTACTCACACATCATGCAGACAGCTGACAGCTTTTGCTTCTTCACTTTCCTCGGAACACAACACGTCTATCTGCTCCTTATCTTCCCCCTCGCCTTCTTCCTCGTTCTCCACAGCATTGGATGAAGGATGCTCTTCCTCAGAGTCTCCCTGCGGAGTCAGCCAAACGGCGGGCTCCTCCTGCTCTTCTAGTTTTAAATGTACGAAACTGTCCGATTCATCTTCGGAGCCATCGATTTCTCTAAGAATGTCGAGTAAGTCCACAGAGTTAACAGGATCTGACTCTGCCGAGAGTGCCTCCTCTTCTTCTGAGTCTGTCCTCGGTAAGATTCCTGGAAGAGTGTTAAGAAGGTGAACGTCACAGTTTTTTAGTTATACCGTTTAGAATCCAAATGAAAAGGCCACAAGCAACCACGAGTGTGAATACTGAACTGAGAAAACACTTGAAACTAAACAACTCATTAAACTTGCCTCTCTGAGTAATACGTACCGTTATTACTGTCTGACAGCTCATGTGGTGAACCTTCCCTTTCCTGAGTCGGCAGCACATCTGCAGCATCACATGGCTGGAAATTGCAACACAGACCATTGATCATGAACATTAGTGGTGGGGGAACAAAGCTTGTGATTACCAGCCGCAGCACGAGAAATAAGCTGCCCTCTGAGCCTCATCCGACCAACATTATGTCCACTCTACCACAGCAACCCAAACATGTGTATCTGAACAGATTAAGTCTGAGGCGGTGAGGCCAGAGTGAAGTAGGAAGTGTTAATGACACAGGACATTTGAAAGTGTAAACGCACGTAGACATTTGAAATAGGAAAGAGTTTGAAAATAAAGGCAGCAGGAGAACATCACACTTCCTTTTACAGCTCCTCGTGTGCGTTACATACCTCTGAGATGTTTCCTGTCCACTCTAGATTTGAGTTCAGAAGCCGTGCATTAAAACCATCTCCTTCCCTTCTGTCGCCCTGTGTGAGGAGCTCAGCGTTCACGCCTTCAGATGGGTGAAGGGCTGGGGAAGTGGTGTCTCCACTCGTCACGGCACCAGAGTCCGGCTCATTGGCCGAGCTGCTGTCAGTCATGAGTGAAGGTCCCTCTGCGGAAAGATCTGGCATGTCCCACTGCACTGTGCAGAAAGAAAGTGGAGGACTGCTGCAGGGCATGGGTTGCATCGACCATTGTATCTGCTCCCACTCCTCTGCCTCCTCAGAAGCCTCTCCACCTGCCGTCGGGGAGAGATTGAGTTGATCTTTCCCGTGTGTCTGGTTTATCTCTGCCTCAGCGCTCTCCTGCTCTCCATTCACGTGCCGGTGGTCGATGGAGGTCCACGAGTCTTGTCGAGGCTCCTGAAAGACTGAATCTGGAACATCTGGCAGAGAGGAGCACACGTTTTCCTCCTCCATTAGCTCGTATCTCAGTCAGTTCCGTTGCTGGGTCGTTTGTGGTTTGGGTGAAAGACGCTGTAGCTGTAAAGGATGTCTCGCTATAAAATGTCTTCCTCTGCCGTATCAAGGTTGATCATTTTGTAAGATCCCATAAACCCTGAAGAATGTAACAAACTCCAATGTCGCCATTCACAGATCTGTAATAAGAGAATATAAAATAAAAGTTATTTTACCACACACCCATCGTGAGGAGAGTGAGACATTCCCTCTCAATGCTGTTAAGCCTGACATCCTGTAACACATGCCAAACTGTTTTGTGAAACGGATTCTTCATGAAATAAAAACGAAATGTTAGGTAACCTCCAGGAACATCTGCTTAGCTCAGAAAGGTAAATGGTTGTTGAGTTATCGTATCTATAAGATTCATAGGTTGTATTTGGTTCTTATTTTTTGTCTTTTCATCCATGAGAAACAGTATGTTTATAACTACTGAGAGCACCATTTCAAATGACAAACAACGCTCGGATTAAAAACTAAAATAATATCTTTACAACCCTGATAGCAAAAAACACTCACCACTTGTTTGCCCAAATAATCCAATCTGGAGAAAGTGTCTCTTTTTGAGCCTTTGTCAAATGTTTTCTAACTCTCTGCGTGGTGCAGCAGGTGTGACTCTTGGCATGTTTGTACTTCCTGACCACAGAGTGACACAGAAAATCAGTCAAGCAAGTCAGCGAGAGCGATAGAAGGAGAAAGAGGTAGAGAGAGAGTATGGTGTGGATTAGGAATGAGACAGAAGGTGGAGTTGAAGGGCTGTTTCTGGTCGGCCGTTTAACTGCCTACGTCCTGTGTTTATCATGTTATCAGCACACTGTGTGGTGACCCTGGGCAAAGGATAAAAGTGTGAAAGGATTACAGCGCAAACCAAGGCCAGCAGCTACACAACATCAACAACAAAATGACATCCGTGCTTCTACTGGTGATAAACACAGTTAAAATGTCACACCTCATATTATACCTATCTTTCGCTCTGTGATACTTTTTGATATTTCTATTCTTTTCTGACTTTCTTAATTATTCTATTCACGTCACGCAACCAACATCCGGGACCGACCATGACCACATTTCCTGTGTGGGTGCTCACTTCTCAGTTCCTGTCAGGGTGCAAGTGCTACACAAATATGCAAGATAGTTTACAAAGATTAACAGAGAGGGTCACCGAAACCTAATGATGAAACCCTGTTGAAACTAAAAGTATGGAGATACTGATATTCAAATTATTAAAAGTTTAAGCTTTCCTACCATAAGATTTGTAAGTAAGAATCTGACAGTTTAAAAAAATGGGCGATTATGATATCATACAGTATCTTGTCTCTCTTGGATCAAATGTTGTGTTTCACATGATAACACAGTTGATCCTCTGCGTGCATTGTTATGATAAAATAAACACTGCTCAGACGCAAAACAAATGCACACCAGACATTTCCAGAGAAGCTTTTTTTTAGCCTTCCTCAAATAGAACACCCATAAAAATAAATAAGAAATAGTTTCAGTTTTAGTCAAACGTTACTCAAACAAACTTGCAGAATGCTCCAACAGGGGGATGCCAGGAGAAGTTGCGTACAATGAATGGGAAGTCATTACAGCACACCTCAGAGAAGATAAATAAAAGAGGAACTCAGCCACAGTGAGTGAAGTGAAAGCTGTGGAATGACTTAAATGTTGTATGTATAATAATATAATTTGTCTAAGGAGGATAAACACTCCCTGTGTCTTTCATTACCGTCAGTTAGCTTGGCACAGACATTCTTTTAAACATATTCAAACCTCAAAGAGCTCAAATAAATCTCATTAGAAGGAATCTTTTCAACTGTGAAGCATGACTTACCCCCTCCAGGCTCTTTAAAGCACCATCATATGATCGGTAGACTTGTGATGTTTTAAGTCCTGTGGGGGGGAGACACACCGCTGTGTTTTACTGGGTTTATCCCGCTGTCAAAGTGCTGCACCTTCACAGGCACACAAACACATGCACACAAGCATACAAGTAACCCTCAGTTGATTATGTCTGACCCTGCTGCGCACAACAAACAAGCCTCACATTCACTCTCTTTTAGCCGCGCAGCCTTTGAGTCTGTGGTGTCGCATAGCAATGAATGCAAGTCACAAGTCCTAGTCCGGACTAGGTCCTCCTCCTTCTTCTCCTTCATGCTTCCTGCCCATTTTCAAAAATTCAAGATCAAACTTCAGTCTCCTGCTGTCCTGTTCCTCTCCCAGCAGGTATAGCTGTGGAAAAAAAGGAAGAGAGAATTTGATTGGCAATGAGGAGGAAGGAAAAGATACAGTGTGATTGGCGGATGAGCTAAGAGACACCTGAGAGTCCTCCGTCTACACACCCACCACCCTGAAGGCATGCAAGCAAACATACAGGTGAGGGGAGTGGCTCAGCTTCATTCCTGCATATGGCATGAGGAATTATGTGGTAAAACCAGAAGGTACCAGATTCAATGGACATCAGTCATAAGCCGCACATGGCACATGATACCTCTTAATTTTGGTTTACTGTCTGGCTGTGGGCAGAAAAGCCTGTTTAACTCAGACATGGGTTGTTCTAAATCTAATATAACAACGTATTAACTTAATTCTTCTTTGATTAGTTTTTACACACTATTTTTCATTTTATTCGCTTAAAATTATTTATCTTTATCTATTTATTATTTATCTTTTTTGTGTATTACATTTTCCGACGACTTTATAATTATAATAATACAAAAATGGTTTAAGCATTATCGTTAGTGGGTGAATCATTTGCCATCATTAGTCACATGACTGTTAGCAGCACATCGTTATTTATCATTAGTAGTACCATTAATAATGTGTATAATCGTACATAGCTTTTTGGCATAACATTACAATTATAAACACTTTTGTTCTTCTTTATTACCGTTAGCTACATTTACGTTAAACGTTAACGCATACTAACTACCTAGGTGTAATATCAACCGTTAGAACAAAACGTTAGTGGACCTTTGTTATTTATATTGAGTTTGATTAAAATTCATTTTTAATCAACATTTTGACATTAGAAGTCTGATATCACAATAAGCTACACTCTTTGTGTAGCTAACAAGCTAACCTTATTAAACATTGTAAGCAGTGTCATTAGCATGTATAGCATTCAGATAATCGTTGGTATTAAAATATTAGCATTACCTAGCATTTATGTGAGCATCCTTGCAGTTGCAGTGAGTTAGTTGCTAGCTAGTGGTTGTACTAGCTGATTTTGCTTAGTAGTATTAGTAGTATTATTAGTAATGACCAAGTAGTACTGCTGCAGTTTTGCAGTCCTTCCTAATGTTATTTAAACACCATTTATCACCGTGGTTATTTGTGTAAACAGCATCCTAGTAACGTTAGCTAGGGCCCCCGCTAAACCACTCCCCTCCACACCAGCAAGGGGTGCTACACATTTTTTTAAGAAAAACAAAACCATCATCTCCTCTCCGTCACTTTCGTGCGACTGCTTCTGCTTTGTTTGTTCCGCACACGGCAGCAGCAGCAGCAGCCGACTGCACACACCAGGGATGTATAAAGAGAACTGGATAGAGCTCTGTTCATTCCTATGAGAGTTGAATTTGGTGCATGAAGCCCAAAATGGAGCTACTGTAGATTAAGAAAGTACCCGGATCATCCGGGGCCTTTTGCTTACAGAGCGTGCTCACGTGAGTTTCCCTACCTCCCCACCTCCGTCGTCGGGTCAGTCAAATAAAATAAAGTCAAATCAGTCAAATAAAAGGACAACGAAAAAGAACTGGATTGAACTTGTAGCGCATTTTACAACTTTTACCCCCTAATGATTTAAATAAGGGCTATACAATTGTTCGTACTGTGTATTTTATTTAGATTAAACAAATATCCGGTGATTTACAGACGTCTCTTTGGGACAAAATTACGTCACTGAAGGTGTAGTACCACTGGTTGGCCACTACGGCCATTCCAAAAATCGGCTTCAACGACCGGCGCACTTCCTATGGCTCGCTGCACACACCCACTTTGTATACCGATACTTTCAACCATGTACAAACCATCTGGCGAGTTGTTATCCTCAGCCACTCGGTCTATCATGGCCAAGCCGAGTGATCTAAAGATGTTCCTGGAGTCTTCTCTGAATGAGATCTTCAAAGCCACAGTGAGCGACATCCTGGATTCAGTGGACAGGACCCTGTCCGAGTACCAGGGCACAATACACAGGATCGAGTCCGAAAACGAGGGCCTGAAGAGGCTGCTGTTAGCACAGAGGAGCACCGAGTCTGCTGCTAGAGGTATGGTTGTCTACACTAGGTCAATAATGGAGGGGTGTCTGTGTTTGTCTCGACAGTGGAGCTTCATGCAGTAAACGGAAACTGTAAACATTGACGAACATTTTATGTAGGAAATTGGCCTGTAGATCACTGTTTAATACAGTACTAATTACACTGTAACAGGTTTATATACTGCCAGTAATGATGGTGGTAGAACACAGGGAATTCTACCATACACAGTAGACTACAATAGATAGATGTGTATCAAATAAATGTATTGTGCAATGCTGTTTTAAAAATGCAGCGTCTGGATAATACAATTATCATGTTTGTGATTAAAACTGGCTATTTAAGTGTAAAACTGGTCACTGTTTGTGACAAAGATGCAATATCCCTCAGCTTTATTGAGCATTTCAGTATCTAACATCTCATTGTTTATGTTTTTCTGGCTGAGAACTACACTTATATATCCACCTTAATATCCACCTATAACACACAGCTATTGCAGGAAAATGTATACAATTTTAAATTACAAGCAGTTTGTTTCTTCCATAATCACATTCAAGACTTATTTACTTATATTTCCTTGTACTTCTGTCAGCTACTCAACCATTGTGGCTGTAATATAGATGTGTACTACTCTAAATCACAGTCTGTACTAGTTTGTTTATCATGTTGTCTTTGTCTTTGTTACAGATCCTCGTGAACAAGATGCCACTGAAAGGTTTTCCTCTTCAGAATGGAACGATTATCCCTTCGGCTCGACGCAGGGCACGTTCCAGATGTCCATATGCAGCAGTGACAAGAAGAGCTTCAGGAGGAAGCAGAAAGACAAGACGAGGGAGAACACATCCTCTTCCTCCTTTTTACTGCAGCCTGATCATATGGAAGAAACTCAATGTGTGAGCACAGCCGATGTAAGCATTATCACACACAACGTGTTATCTGTTAAAACAGAGCCTGGCCTGGATGAAAGTGGTGCTATTGACCTCTCCCAGCCTTCACCCCTGCTCAATCTAACAATAAAAACCGAGAGCACGGAAGTCAATATTAGCAGTCATGATGCATATGCGCCTATGCCGCCATCTACAGGCCTCGAACAAGACTCCAGAGGAAGTGACAGTGAAGTTAAAGTCACCATTGTTTCTGACACCTACATGCAGGATGGACAATTAATAAAGACTGAGGAGGAGCAGAATGGGGTGTCACAGTATGATGGTGACGATGACAATTTACTTTTGAAGCAGGCGTTGAGGTATAACCCTGAATCAGAAATAGACCCTGAGGCGGCGAGTACACAGGTTGTGGAGCCAGACGTAGAGTCACATGAGGAAAACGCTGCAGTTCCTGAACTTTTAGAGGTTCCTGATAACTTCTTACGCTGTCCTACTTGTCCCAAAACATTTAGTCGAGCCTCCTCTCTCAACATCCACATCAAGACACACAGCGCTGAGAAATCTCACAGCTGCAGCTACTGCGGCAAGCGCTTTGGGCGTGCTGATCTCCTCAAGTCCCACAAGCGTACCCACACAGGAGAGAGACCCTACTGCTGCAACATCTGCAGCAAGACGTACGCCCACCCCAGTCAGCTCAGGATACACAAACGTGTGCACACCGGAGAGAAACCCTACTCGTGCTCGCACTGCGGGAAGTGCTTCAACGAGCACAACCAGCTCAAAGTCCACCTGCGGACTCACACCGGGGAGAGACCTTACAGCTGCCAGGAGTGCGGCAAGACGTTCAGCAATGCAGGTAACCTTCGAATACACGAGAGGATTCACACCGGGGAGAAGCCGTACTGCTGCGCTCAATGTGGGAAACGCTTCAATGGCTTAGGGGACCTTAAAACCCACTACAGGATCCACACTGGAGAGAGGCCCTACAGCTGCGAGCTCTGCAAGAAGACCTTCAGCCAGGCGGGCCACCTCACCATTCACATGCGCATGCACACGGGAGAGAGGCCGTACAGCTGCAACGAGTGCGGCAAGAGGTTCACGGTGGCCAGCAGCCTCAAACTGCACCAGAGGACTCACACCGGAGAGAAGGAGTACAGCTGCTCGTTCTGCAGCAAGAGCTTCAGCAGGTCGGGACACCTGAAGAGACACGAGCTGGTGCACACCAAAGAGAAGGTGTTCCTCTGCAGCCAGTGTGGTAAGACCTACACCGACCAGTCGTCCCTCAAGAAGCACCTGAAGATGCATGCGACCAAGGAGCAGAAGGCTCAGAGCGAGGGAAGCACCAGTGAGACAGAAACAAACCGACCTACAGCCTCAGAGACGCTATCAGACACTGATAGAAGTTAGAACTAAAGGGCCAATAGAAGAGACTAATATAAAAGCTCAGAAAGATTCTCTGATACAGAAATACATCTCACAGCCTACATCATATGAGTATCACTGCTTTATCTGTTTATAGATGATTTAGTTTTCAACTTCTACCTAAACTGGACCTCCTGGATTGTATTTTGTCTATCTGGTACCTTAAACAACGCACTGCAGGAGAGCTGACATTTTGCAGGGCAGTTGATGTGTGCTCTGGTTCAAAGCACCAGAAAAACGTTTAAAGGTCCCATGTCATGCTTCTCTGGTTATTACCCGTCCCCTTGTGTGTTATGTAGCTTTGTATGCATGTAAACGGTCTGCAGAGTCACAAACCCTCAAAGTACACCCTGTAGCGAGTAAAACTCGCAGAAAAGACCTGTCTATGCTGCCCAGAACGCCTCGTTGGACATTTCTCTTTTTCCATTTTTTTCCTCCTGAGTAAAGTGACGTAACGGCTCCTCACACACACTCAGCCTTATCTTTTCTCAGCTGCGGCTCCGCGGATCTCCGCACACGTGTATTAGGGCTGCTCAATTATGGCAAAAATCATAATCTCGATTATTTGGGTCAATAATTGATATCACGATCATTAAAAACGATTATCCATTTACTTTGAAAACATCCATTTATTGAAAAACAAATGTGAACAGTATGTTTTTAACAGTTGATTACCCTGAACTTTAAGTATAATTCAACTGAAAAACCAATAAAAATGTAATAAATAAAAATAATCGTTTTATTTAGATGATGTTGTTTTCATAATCGTTTCAAGCCAAAATCGTAATTGCGATTAAAATACGATTAATTGAGCAGCCCTAACGTGTGTGTGCTCAGGCTGAGCTCCGCGGTGTCTCGCTGTCTCGCAGTCCCCCCGCAGCAACCAGGAAACTCCACCAGTAACCCAAATGTGATTTTGGAACATTGAACAATGTAAATCGATTCTAGTAGACCTCAACAATGGAATTATGATCAGTAGAAATGGCCATGACATGGGACCTTTTAAGTGGATCTCAAGGTTGAGATCCTATATGTCTAACTGCTGTTCCCGAGATCACAGTTTTACGCTAGAAATTGTACATGTTTTTTGTGGTACGGTGCAATTCACTGTTGTCTAATATTTGCTGTGGTTTATTAGCTCCAAGTATTTAGCAATAAGTTATGATTTATTTATTATTTTCTTTTGACTCGTTAAATCTAATGTCGTCTTGTGAGACAGATAATGGGACCCTTACAGAGCTGTTCTTTTAAACGTGTGTATGGTACCAAATGTTGGTAATATAATGCTTAAAAAGAAAAGTTGTTGAATGCCTGTCAGATTAGCAGGATGCCTTTTCGACCTCCCTGCTGAAGCAACACACTGTTTTTTTCTGTGGTGCTTATGTTTGACCTTGAAAATAGAATATCCCCACAGGGGTCAGTTAACAATAACGATATAATTGTTTGAGAATTACACCATTTAAGATGCTTCTACGCACATGTCAACACTTTGTATAGTAGCCAGAGTGTTAGAAATGTGTGCCGCACCAGTGACTTATGATAAAGATTATAAATATATTGCTGTATATTTAGCTTTAACTATACATCCAGCAGTCTGTTCCATTGAACTGACACGAATGTATTTGTGTAATAACGGGACTAAAATAGTGTTGCTGCAAATAATCAATATCTATTGACCAACTTTCACTATTGAAGAATCAATCATTGTTTTTTCAGCCATGTTGATCTAAAACGATGTTGAGCTTTTAGAGGTTTTGTTTTCACTGTGCGAACAGGAAGCTGACGCACACAAGAGGAAAACGTCATGTTTATGATGATAGGGCTTCTGTTTGTTTGGAAATGTGTTGATATACCTCCACTGCGGCGTATATGAACTAGTAAACACTATTAAACTGAGTGTTTTCCTCTAGGACTTTATTGTAACCTACATGTGTGTTTTGTGTCTAAATTAAAAAGAAAGTTAACCAAAATGATTTTATATGTATAATTGATTTGAAATGAAACAGGTTCTGTGAGGTCTCCTTATGCATCTGGTACAACAAGAAAAAGCTAATATAAGACAGTATATACAGTGAATCAATGTCTGTGCATACATACAATAGTTCCCAGTGTTTTTCCCTGAAGGATACATTAAATAAATGTTGCACAACTTTACAAATGTGAAGGGTATAGTTTTCTCACTAGTGAAGCCACACATGTTTCAACACTTAATGCTTTTAGATGCTTTTTGTTGTGACTTGGCCACTATTATTGGAGACATTTATTTGTACTTGTCTCACAAGGAATCAGAGCAGGTTTGTTCTAAAGCAGGACAGTGAAGACCTTTACAGAATAAATACCTTTATTTACAGTTATCCAGGCAGGGCAGGGCCAACACAAAACAGATTTGTTCCTGACAATGACACACAAGGATCTGACAAATACTGACAGAAAAAAAAAACTGAAATACATGCAGAACTAATTCCCAAGGACAAGACACATCTGTGGAGTGCAGAAAAAACACAAGGGCAGCAGGTGAAAGGGTAATCAGATAATCAAATAGGCGCAGACAGGAAGTACAAACAGGCATAACACAGAGGGTGACCTGACCATTTCAAAATTAAAATCGGATTTAGACAAATAGTTCCTTTTCAATTATTGGAGATTGATGAAAGTGTCATAATTGAAGTACAAAATGTGGATCACCTCCATTGTATTCAGGTATTTAAAACTATAGGATTGCAACAATTAATTTGACTATCAATGTGTCGATTATTTCCCAATTATCAAACAATCGTTTAGTCTAAAAATGAGAAGGAAAAATAGAAATACCAAATTATTGATTAATCAACTAATTGTTTAGGCTCTTCTAAAACCCAAATACAAACTCAACAATATGCATAAGTAATTCCTGAGTTAACTGCAAAGTTATTTGTTTATTTGTAACCATTTAATTAGAAAATGTCAACTTTTGGGAAAAACGTTCATGATGTTATCAGGTAAGGAGAATTTAATGAAATCTATTAATTTACAAAATATACTTTTTTAAAGTTTTGTCTCATATAGCCCTCTTCAAGGGACCCACCGCACAATACATCTAGTTACTATCAGCATTTTCAACCTCTGATAATAAAAAAAAATACTATTTATCACAACAATAGAATATTCATAAATGTAAAAATAATAAAAACATGTAGTATCCCTATTGAATTTCGGTGTTGCCTCTGTGGCAGCAGTTTAGCTTCACCTTGGACAGGTAGAGCATGGGCTGAATGCTGCTGCTGAAGTCCATGAGACCGAAGGCCACGTAGTGAATGTAGCAGCGGAACACGTCCGGAGAGAAGTAGTCCTGGAAGGGGAAGAGTGCGACAGGCGGGAAGTAGTTGAACACAATGATGGCCAGGATGATGAGGACCATCTTGAAGGCTCTCTTCTTCACGGGATGCATCTCGTCTCTGCCCGGCCCAGACTGCTTCAGCACCCAGAGGATGGAAATGTTGCAGAACACCATGAAGGTGAACGCTGCGAGGATCATCCCCGTGAAGACCTTCTCGAAGTTGACAATGTTGCCCACACATTTACCCGCTGCGTAGGCCAGGGTGATGACCCAGACGATGATGGCCAGGATCGCTCTGTGGTTTCTGTCCTTGAGCTCGGTGAAGGTGATGGGGTGAACCACGGCCATGTAGCGGTCCAGGCAGATGCAGGACAGCAAGAGAGGCGAGGAGTCTTTGATGCCGTAGAAGAAGCGCAGGACGTACCAGGTGCTGCTGGTGGTGAGGAAGACGATGTTGGCCAGCTCTAGCGGAGGGATGAGACAGAAGAGCACGTCTGAAATCGCCAGGTGGGAGATGAAGATATCTGAGGTGCAGGAGTCCCCCTTGTTCCTGTGGATGAGCCACAGCACCATGAGGTTGGCCGGGATGCCCAGGAACATGTTGATGAACTGCAGGCCCAGGTAACAGATGAGAACAGCAGGCATGGTTCTGCAGGTTTCATACACCGTCAGCTCGAAGGTGCTGTTTATGGGTCGGTGGGAGATGAAGAGCAGGGAGGAGTTGATGTAGGAAACCTCCATGACGGCAGGATCAGAGGACCCAAAAGATCTGTAAACAGAACAGACAAAAACATATTAGTTATTAGAGACAAGATGCAATATTTAAAGGGTGCAGGTGTGATAATAAAAACTGCCAGTTATATAAAATAAAGGTCAGTTAAGAAAATACAATGATCCCTTATCAAAGATGCATGTGGTTTAAGGCTGCACAATATGAACATGCAATGTCGAGTAAGGCAAATAAACACTTCATACTTTAACCTGTTTTGCTCTTTACACAAAAGGAGAACATTGTCCATCTATTTTGAAAGAATATTATTTACTCAAATGTAAGCCCTCTTTGATACAGAAACACCACTTCAGTAAATATATATATGCTTATTCATCTGGTGAAAATTCCGGTATTTGTCAAAGATAGCAATATATATTGCAGTTAAAACATATTTAAAAATAAACAAATAATAATGAATAAATTATTACATGTTAAACTCAAGCTCAATGTGTGTGATGAGTTTTTTTAAATGAAAGAAAGTGCAGAGTGACAGTTTCTTAACTTTTCTATTCAAACAAGGTGAATGAGCATGAGCTATTACATGCTTGATCATCATAGCTTTTCCAATATTCAAATTCATATGATGACATATATCGTTAATATGGAGTTTGGAAACACAAATGTAACTCTAAATGCAGTTACACTGTGGATATCTGAGAACCAGCACTTGAAAGTAAACGTTCTTAACTTGTCAGAATTCATAGTAATCCCAAACTTGTTCTGTGAAATATATACAATATATTAAGCGTTTGTTAAAAAAATAACTGCCAACTCATCAAGCAAATATTAATACTGGTCCAAAGACATGCTTTCTGTATATGCAAAAAGCAATGAATAAAAGTGTGTATTTTAGTAGCTAATGCACACGATAAAAAAGAGAAAAGGTAACACATGATGCTGCGGTATCAAACTACATTGTCTTATATATTTTCTGACAGAACAAAGGTTAAAACATAAAGGAAAAATGCATTTTACTCATGTTGTATTTTAATTTAAAAAACAAACTGCACCACACCAAGTGGTCTCATGTATATTGTAAAACCCCAATGTTCTTCTATTTAGTTTTGTATGGAAACTGAAGCCTCTTACCTTGATCTGACACTTAGTCGTGTAAAGAACTGATCCTCTCTGCTGTCTCACACTCTCAGACTCCTTAATCTACTTCCTTTTTTTCATGAAGTGCCACATGATGCAACGGCTGTAGGTCAAATGTTGCTTTATGAAAGGGCTGACAATTGTTTGCCTGCCTTCCTAAATGTTTGCATGTCTCCCTATATGTTTCAACCAGGTAAAATGTTTGTCTATCTCTGTATCTAAGGGAAACATGTAAATATGTAACCTGACAATAAAGACGGCCTGTTCACCTGCAAAACTAATCTAATGAAGTCTGCAGAATATTGCCGCTATAAAAACAACGGCTACAAGACTGAAGAACTGTACCAAGAAATAAAAACATTCATGTACAACTAGTGTTTAAATGAACAGAAGTAACCAACATGTCACTCACCTGAGAAAGAAAAGTAATACTGCTGCACCTGGTGTCCCCTCTCTCCTCCTTCTCCTTGTGTGACTCCTTGGTTGTCAAAGTGTGAGTGAATACTGAGCCCTCCCTTCAAAGTGAATGGAAAACATATTTTGAAAGATGACCCAACACTTCAGGGATCCTGATCATCCAACACAGCTTTGAGACGAGGGTAGTGGAGGATGAGGAGCCACACTGTCTGGTATGGCACCATGTACATCCATCACTCAATTAAAAGGAGGAAATGAAATAAATCATTAGAGAAGGATGGATTAATGATTTAAAAAAGGATGAAAACGAATTATAGAAAAGTGTCTAAAGTAGTTGGTGGAAAAACAATGAAAACAGGTTTGTGTTTGGACGTGTTGTGGCAAGCCATCATCCATTCACACCGATTGGCAATGATGCAACGAACCAATGGTGCCTGACGGAAAAATCGTCAGTAAACAACTGATGCAACCGTCCAGAAAATGACTTCTGATTCAATTCAGTGTAACGATGTGTAATATGTTACGTGAGGCTGACATGTTCAAGGTGTGATGTCCGTCGGTTTGAATGTGCTGCACCCAACTCTCAGCTCAGGGATCTCCACTGAGAACTGCAGATCACACTCACGGTAGGTTTTTCATTGTTTTACTGAGTCATGTTCATTGCATCTACATATAGTGTCGTTTTTTGAGGGATTGTTAACCCTTGTATGGTATTCGGGTCTGTGGGACCTGTTGTCATTATTTAGGTAAAATATTTTTTTCAAACTCACACTCAATGGCCTTTTCTGTGAAGAACATTATAGTCTAGCAGGAAGGGGCCTCAGATTTTGAGATACCCCTACCCGAGGTAGAACAAAACACAACAATGATTTTTCTTATCTTTAGGGTCTCCCATTAATGAAATATATTGTTGTCACATTTTATTTAGGGGGAAAAAATGTTTTTTTGGTTGTTCTTTAGAACAACCCCAATCCCTGAAAAAGAGCCAAATTAGACCAGGAAAGGTGACAAAAACAGATTAGCTGAGGTATGAACCAGGTGGCTGTCCTACATCATCAAATAGTCAGACAATTATTTACCTACAAAAATACTGAATTATAGTCCCGTAAACTTAGCTTTACTTTAGACGGAAATTGTACTTTTTGGTGATAGGAACATAGGACTCCATCACTTTTCTCTCATTTATTGGGGCGGTGGTGGCGAAGTCGATAGGGACTTGGCAACTGGAAGGTCACCAGTTCAAGTCCCGCTAGGCAAGGCACCGTTCCCTACACTGCTCCCCGGGCGCCGTTCAAAATGGCAGCACACTGCTCCTAACACAGGATGGGTCAAATGCAGAGAAACAATTTCCCCACGGGGATTAATAAAATATATCAAATCAAAATCAAAACAGAAATCCCTAAAAAATATATCATTACTGAATTGTCTAGGGTGCTATTGAACACTAACCAGTATGGAAATATCTGGTACAGTTCTATTGCAAATTAGATTTCTTGATACAGTCAAATTCTGAATGAGGGATAAGTGGCATAATAGCCTATAAGTTAAGAATGCTCACTCTGAGTCTGATGGTCATCATATTTGGAGAGGGAAATACTAGGTGGCTGAACTACATCACCAAATAGTCAGAATAAGAGTAATCCAATAAAATAAAGTGTATTTGTTCTAAATTGCAAGCCTCTAAAACATAGGTGTAATTAGTACAGGTTGTATTGAAACTGGAACCTTAATTCAAAGTACAGTATACAATTCATCAAATAATTCAGTGAGAGGTCAAGTATATAGATACTAGAATAGAATGTCAGGTTCCTCACAAACGTTAGGGGACACATGTTGACATTCTGCACAGCAGGTGCAGAACTCCGTACAGGGAAGGCCAACAGAGAGGCACTGGCACTTTCCACTCTCCACACTTTGCATCTTTGCAAAACAAGTGAGTAATGTGTCTCACTTCTGTAGGTTACAAGTGAGTAATGTGTCTCACCTCTGTAGGTGCTGTTTTTTTTGTAAATAGCACTGGTTGAATGGCCCCATCTCTGACAATCCACCCCTTGCCAATTGGACTCCATAAGGGTTTGGGTTCGGGCTGTGACACCATATCGCTGTCTGAAACATTGCTCTTTGTACATGTTGTTGGAATGCATCCTCTGGCGGCAGATATTCCGAGGCTGCATGTGTGTGTGTGTGTGTGTGTGTGTGTGTGTGTGTGTGTGTGTGTGTGTGTGTGTGTGTGTGTGTGTCACGTGTGGGGACTCGCCTCCCTTATGGGGACAAAATGGAGGTCCCCATAAGGGGAATCATTAATTTTAGGGTGAAGACTTGGTTAGGTTTAGGCCCTTACCCTTACCCTTACCCTTACCCTAACCGCTAGGCCCTAGGGTAAGGGTAAGGATAACCTTACCCGGACACCTGTCTGCTCTCACATTCCAGCATTATGTCTTGCGGGAACCAATCTTTTTTTCACACTCTATCCAAGCTGCACATTTGGGGCGAGACACAATAAATAAAGCTTTGCCAGTTTGGGTCCTTATCACAACTGATCAAGATGGCCAATAAATGCTCTGCTCAGAGGGCCTTGCAAATGCTTCTGGAAGAGAGAGAACCATTGGATGATGATGTAGAGGAAGAGGAAGAGGCTTCACATTTCTGAGAATACTGAGTCTGACAGTGACTTTGAAGAAGAGGATGAAATTGAGCATCAGCTAGTTGCAAAAAAAAGACGAGCCACAGGACCAGCCGGTCAGCGGGCAAAAAAACAAGTAGCACTTTTATTCATTAATGTGAACAAATGTAAAAGGCAAATATTAACCATATATGCTGTTTATTTTTGCTTGTAATTGAGCTGAAGTAAACATCTGTTGAGTATTTTAACATAAAATAGTTTGATTGTGTTGAATTGAAGCCCAAAAAGGCAGCGGGTCCACCAGACCCACGAACACTTATGTTGTTTGTCATCCTTATTGTTGTTCTGTTGTTTTTATGTTACATGTGTAACTAATGTCCTGCAGGTCACCCTTGAAAAAGAGATCTTTTGATCTCAAGGGGCTTCACCTGGTTAAATAAAGGCTACAAACAAACAAACACTGGCTGAGTAACACAAATATGAACACCATACAAGGGTTAAATGACCTTACAGGTGACCTTTGACCTTTGACTCAAAGTGGTTAGACGTCTAAAGCATTGGGTGTGAGAAGTACTCAGAAATGTTACGGAAGTTCATTCGTAAAAATATGTGTAATAGCATCAAAATATACTTGCATAAGTGTCAAAAGTAATTTGCTAAATGGATTATTTCAGAATAATGAATGGTATCATATGATTAGATTATAATAGTTCAAACGTTATTGTTTAAATCACTTTTATATTTGATTGAGAACTTCTTATTTTAAAATAAAAGGATTAATTGGTTGATTACATTTTGTTTTCTTTATCACAATCTAAAAGTAACTAAGCTTTCAAATGAATGTAGTACTATAAGCAGCAGACATTTTAAATACTCGAGTAAATAACCCCAAAATGTGCTTCAATTAAGAAAATCACTTTATTAACATCCCCCACCAATGTTAATATAGTACATATATAATATAATCGTGTTAATCTCAGAATAAGAATGCAATGTTAAAATAAAGGCTTTTTATATATTTTAGAATTAATCATTTGGTTAGTGTCCTGCAGCTTATGTTGATCTGTGTGTGTTTCAGGTAATGTCTGTGTGTGTTTCAGGCTGATGCAACTCGACCCAGGTTTGTTTTTCTTCAGTCTGAGGTCTTGTTTGTACTGGTGTCAGGTTCACAGGAGATGTGTGTCCCTCCTCTAAAGTAGAAGATCCTCACAGGTCTGTTAAATTCTGCACCAGACCATAAACACACAGAGTTGCTTCTTCAATTTAGAGATCTTTGGAAGATCTGGATGTTGTAATGTCACAAACACAGTAAAATGTGGCAGTTTCAGATTTGTAATGTGAATTTATTTTCCCATCACAAACAGTTGTACAAAGATTACAATTGTTATTTGGTCTAGACACATTTTAATTGATATTATCAGAGGTACACAAATAGTTTTTCTAGCAGCTATTGTGTGAGATTAAGATCAAACCTTTTTATGGAAAATGTGACATTAAACCATGTTTGTGCATAGATGTGACGAAATGAATGGGTTCATGTTATACTCCTCATTAAAACAAGCTGAGCTAATCACATCTGAGGATGAAGTGGAAATGTGGTGCATGAATTACATCAGATCATACTCAATGTCCAGGGACATTTCCCTAATTTATGGCAGAATAACATAACCGAAATGAACAGACACTCGGCTGACAGATATATTTGTGGAAAGTTTTACATTTTAAACAACTCGCTAATTAAAATAGAGACACTTGCAAACACTTCCCATGACTAAAAATAAGTAAAAAGACTGAGTGGTTGGAGTAGCTGAATTTAGTTTTTGATAGACTTCAGAAATAATAAATAAGGTTTGATTTACAATATATTTACAAAAATCTATAAAAAGATTATCCTGATTAAGCTCTCGTGAGTCGTTTTTTTTATAGCCGTTTTCTCAAAATATGACATTTCAAGATGATGTTTGTCATCCATTGCTTTTTTTATTATTATTCAAAATCAATAGTTTTACACTTAGATATAGGTGATATTGTATTGCAGTACTGTAAAGAACAACAGAGTCAGCATTGTTTGGTCATATTTATTATTTAACATTTCATCTGAAGTTTTGATAGGAAGCTGAAGAAAAAGAGTTTCACTCACACATAATGTAGCTTGAGCAGCAAAAAACATACAATCAAACAAGTGGGAAACAGACATCAACAATATGCTATGTGCAGACATCCCAGCAGTACCGTACAGATCCATTATAAAACTACAATGTTTTTTCTTCTACCGCCACCAACTAACTAAATATTTCTCAAGTAAACTTTGTGGATGGCCGAATATTTTTATACTTTTAGTCTAAAGTCAACCAATCCTGGTAAAGAGGGGAATTTACAGGGACAAAACTGTTTTTTAGCTCTGTGCTAATCTCAAAGTTTTAAACAGAAATCTCTTCAAAAGATAAATATTCTTTAGCTGAAAATATGAGCCATGCAATAATTCACTGTAAAGACATACAGGGGTTATAGCACTAGGTAGCCAAAGTGATTTTCTTTAGTTTCTGACTCTAAATCAGAAGATCTCCCAACCACGGAGCTCGGGCCCCGACACATTCACCGCCTGCCATGTTTGTCTTCCTCAGTTCTCGTCTACGTGCAAACTTCCAAACTTCTCTCGTCCTCTGCCTCTACATCTCAATGGCTTGTAGGCTGTCCTCCCATCTTTTCTCTTTTCGATCTTAAAGAAAATCCTTAAAACTCACCAAAGGTCCTAACAGTAAACATGCTTCTATAATATATAAAACAAATATTTTCAGTAATCCCTGTCCCTCAGTGTTTCAAATGGAACATGCTAAAAACCCAGAAAGCCAATGTCAGGTAAACATAATCATTTACGTTAAAAGGAAAGGAATACTGAAAGACATTGGGCAAAGTGTATCTTATTATCATTTCAATCAAAGTTCCAAACTAACAAAAATGTAATTGATAGGTCATAGCAAGCAGATGCAGCTGGTGATTTTCATATTTAACAGTAAGAACATGCCCTTTTTTTTCCCCCGCTGAAGTTAATGATTTGATGTTGCCTGTATAGTCAAGTAGCATGCAGGAACACACAAACAGCAGTCTTTAAAGAAGAGTGGAGATCTCTGCAGATGCTTTAATCCTACAACAATGGGAGTGATGGTATGAGATTCGACTGGATTTTTTTTCCCAGTCTTTTTATCTTAGTTGGAGTGTTAAAGGTCCCATGACATGGCCATTTCTACTGATCATAATTCCATTGTTGAGGTATACTAGAATAGATTTACATTGTGCAATTTTCCAAACTCACATTGGTTTCTAATACAGTATCTCTGTATAGTATGTGTATTCACGCAAATCCGTGGAGCTGCAGCTGCCTGAGAAAAGATTGTGTGTGAGGAAGTCCGCGGATTGGTCTTAACGTAACGGCTCCGCGGATTGGTACTTTTGAACCAGTTGGTCCATTGGGTCGTCGTTACGTCACTTGGTTCCCGGAAGAAACAAATGGAAAAAGAAAAATCTCCAACGAGGCGTTCTGGGACAGGTCTTAGAGTTTTACTCGCTACAGGGTGTACTTTGAGGGTTTTTGACTCTGCAGACCGTTTACATGCATACAAGGCTTCATAACACACAAGGGGATGGGTAATAACCGGAAAAGCATGACATGGGACCTTTAATGCAGGAAAGGAAGTGAGTAAAAATCTCGAGTCAAGTCATTCGGGTCAGGTTTTCTTGGAGTGTTCACATCTAGGTAGTGCATGGTTTGGTTTGGGGTGGAGTGGTTGCATGCTGCAGTCCAGGGTGTGGGCGTGGCATGGCTAAAAGCTGCATCACTGCGGGTAAACAACAGTCAGCTGACAGTCTTATCAAAGGTAGCTTGGGACCAGCGTCATGGAAATTCTTAGCTGGTTCTTAACATGCTATAGTTTGGGGTGGAGTGTATCTGTTTTCAGATGAAGGTGGAGTCCATGGTGCTGGTGTCCTGCGCACTGCGGGCTCGGGCCTCAAAAAGCTGTTTTATCAAGGCCGACTTCTCCTGCTCCAGCTGTGTGATGCGCTCGCTCCTCTCCGTCACCTCCTGAGAAGATTCAAGATTCAAAGGTTTTAATGTCATATGCACATAAGTTAAAGTGTAGAAATGGCATGAAAATCTTCTGACCCGAGCTCCTCCAACAATGGAACATATATAATAAAATACAAAAATACAAATAAAAAATAGTGCAATAAGTCTATATGCACGTAAATTGAATGATATATACAAGAACAGAATGTAAAATTAAATATTGTACATTAAGATGAAATTAAATATATTATGGTGATAACTATTTAGATAAATAAGTAAATTGCAAGAGGACAAACAGATGAAGGTTTATCGAGGCACGGAGTTCAGAAAATGGATAAAGTTATTCACTGAAAACATCCACTGACTGGTAACTGTTAGTGACTTCTTCTATGTATTGGCAGTGTGCAGACTGGGTCTAACCTGTGTGAGGAGTCGGTTCTGATCCTTCAGTCTCAGGATGGCTTGTGGGGGAGCTGGAGCCGGGGGCTGCGGGTTAGCGGCGGTCTGAGCAGCGCTGGAGGGAAATGACTGCTGAGAAACAAAGAGGAATCAAAGAATAGCTTATAATTAACCTACTTGTTAAATATACTCAGCTTCCCATAATCATGTACAGATTGGAATTCCCCTGAACTATATTTTGTATTTGAGTATTTACTGACTTCAGCTTTGAGCCATACGAATTTCCCAATAGAAAGTGTTTTATACTTTTATTTATTTTTTAATATAATTGTTCTCCTCTACAGCCATGTTAGCAGCTCTGAGGCTATTCCTAGGCACAGCAGTTAGCATACTAACATGCTCACAGTGACAGTGTAAACATGCTGATGTCTGGCAGGTATGACGTTTACCTCCTTGGTGATATGATAGAAAATAATAGCTTTGTCCACACATATTCAAAACAGGGCTCTTGGTTTTAAAAGGTTACATTTAACCAGGTGATCTTCAAAATGAAGAAGTCCATCCATATGATCATTTATATTCACAATAGATGTAGATTGTGAGACATTAAGAACATTTAATTTAGCTAGATTTACAATAAATGCAAAAGATTAAATGGGGCAGTCAGCACTCACCATCCCAGAGCAGGAAATAAGGTCATTAAGGCAGCGGTTGACTTCTTGCAATTTGGGTATTAGGACATTCATGCGACTCTGATTAGCTTCTGTGAAGAAATCCTGTGAGGAGAGAACATAAAATACATTATGTAAATACAGCAGTGGTGGATACAAGTAGTTAAAGGTCATAAAAATGTCATTATAAAGTGGGATGATTATTTAACAAACCAATGACAAGCTTTGGTAAAGCAGCTTAATATAAACTAATAAGGAAATACTCTGAGGAAGAACATTATGTATTTTTTAAAACAATATATTAGAACTTAGAAGATATTATTTGCTACCAGTGCATATCAAAAACACTGAAGCACTCCGTTAAGAATAAATTACTTCCTTTCCTTATCCTCAAAAAATAAATGCCTTCATTTTGCATTCTTTATAACGGTCAGAAAAGTCTGATAGTTTTTAGGTTTAGAACAAAACAACCAAAACACTCAGTTCAACAGCTTTACATTTTTATTATACATATCCGTTTGATATATCCTCATATGCCAAGATATTTTCGACATTTGTCCTTCTATCTATATCAATACAACTAAAAATCATCAAACAACAAAACACAACAGGCCTCATCTCCAATACTTTATATCTGAGCTCTTTGGACCAGTGAGTGTGAACTGACCGTGCAGTGGGAGTTCTGGCCGACCTGCCTCTGCCTCTCGGTCACATTGTGGATTTGGCCCTGGTACCAGTCTCTGGCCCGCTCCACCACCTCCAGGCCCGCCAGCAGAGAGTCCTTCTCCTGCTCCAGCTCTTTCATTTGCTTCAACTGTGTGAGTTAAAGGTTAAAAGGAGGGGTAGGTTGTTGAAGAGTGAAAAAAGAGGGGCACAAAAGGGAAACATTTGATTGGAAATTGTCAAATAAAATAAAAACCTGAAGTAATTTTCTGTATAGACCTCACTGAGGCAGCAAACGTGTCATTGTAATCACTTAGAGAGATTGAAGGGGCCCTATTATGCTTTTGGGGGTTTTCCCTTTCCTGTAGTGCAGGGGTGCCCAATACGTCGATCGCAAAGGTACTGTGGGTAGATCGCATGGCATTGAAAAATCCATCCTTACTATGGCATTTGCCACTTGATTGACGTACAGGTAAGCCAGTCTGAGATCTCATCTTTTCTAACACGCAGCTCACCATGCATGCGCGGTCAACCGCGCCAGCTGCAAATCACCGGAGAGCTGATTACCTAGTTAGCCTTACAATTTATACAAATCACCGGAGAGCTGATTACCTAGTTAGCCTTACAATTTATACAATTCTACTAAAGAAAGGGTATAGAATTGACGTAATGACCAAAAATGTATTGAGTGGTATTGTGCCATACGGGTTCATGCAGTTATGCAAGGTACACCAACATAAGGTATACTCAGTATATATATAAATAAATATATATCCGATAGATAGATAGAATTACTAACAAAGAATTGCTAACAGAGCACTTATATACAAAAAAGGACTGGCTTATCTATAGCCAGTAGAGTAGCACTTGAAATGTTTGGCTCTAAGAAACCTGATGTACTTATATGATTCTGTTTTCTTCAAGGTTGTATCTTCCTGGTCGAATGTACTTATTGTAAGTCGCTTTGGATAAAAGCGTCAGCTAAATGCAATGTAATGTGTTTAGCATTTTTAATGTAGGTAGATCATTTTGACTTGGTCATTTTAAAAGTAGCTCCCAAGCTGAAAAAGTGTGGGCACCCCTGAGTGTAGTGTGTTATATAGGTTTTTGTGCATGTAAATGGTTTGCAAAGGCTTAAATCCCAGAATTTCTCAGCTAACCAATCAGAGCAAACTGGGCTCTGGTTTCAGACAGCGGGTGAAAAGAGGTGCTGCAGCACAGGCAGTATAAGAAAAATAAAGAGCTCTTTGAACATTAAAGCATGGAGACATGTCCCAGAAGAGTCACTAAATACAAATGTGAACCTGGAAATAATAGCGTAATAGGGCCCCTTTAAGATTAAATCTAATCATTGACGGCGGCCAGCCGTCTGCATTGGTACTCCAATCTTTTCACACAAGGGCATCTGCAGCCAACTCTTTTGTGCTGCCCGAGACAATAGTCAATCAATTGTGCCGGACTCTCTCCCATCCTGAACAATGTTTAGAGGAGCAATCACCCGGGTGTCATGGCAACCGCACAGCAACCTAAGAATGGGGTAAACAGCACTTCAACTATGGCCGCCCCAGTGTGTGAAAGAGAAAGAGATGTGTGTGTGTGTGTGTGTGTGTGTGTGTGTGTGTGTGTGTGTGTGTGTGTGTGTGTGTGTGTGTGCGTGCGTGTGTGTGTGTGTGTGTGTGTGTGTGTGTGTGTGTGTGTGTGTGCGTGTGTGTGTGTGTGTGTGTGTGTGTGTGTGAGGCTGCATTGAGTTGTGCTGACCAAGCTGTCCACACTGCCACAGTGCAGGCCTCATTGCTGGCATTCAGCCACCTGGTGTGTTATCTTTCTATCCACCCACAGGGGATCCCTGCATCCCCTGTGAAGCTCAGTAAATCCCCCCGATCATCGCTCATCAGTGCTGTTTAAAAAGGTTGCGCGAGAAACTTAAACAGAACAAAGGATTTCAGAGTCTGACATCAAATCCTGTGCTCTTTCCCAAAGAGCCTAAAGTGAGAGAACAAGAGAGGAAGGGGGGGTTTTAGGTATGAGAGGTCCGTCTAGAATTAAGCCTGACCCAGTGTCAGGCTTCATGAATACGCGGTAGGTCCACAGGCAGGAAAACCCACAGTTTATAAAAGAAAGAGAAAACACCCACAGAGAGGGAGCAGAGCAGCACATGGCTGAAAGGTTAGGGAAGAGTGTGTGCATGTATGTTTGTCATAGCTGAATGAACAGGCGTGAATACAGGACAACAACGCGCATACAATAACATGACGCCTGTTGCCCAAGCTGTTCGACTAAAAACACAAAGAACATAACTGCCTTTCAGACTGCATCTACAAAGCACCACGAAACCGTGTGTTCTGAACATCAATACAACAGCAGCTCAGAGGCAATATACAGTTCAAAAGTCCCTGAAACAAAGACAGTGTTACAGCCGGACGAACAACCCTGGATATATCCTAATACATCTGTCCAATATTCTTTTCGATCAGTTGGTCAACTGAAACAGTATCAAACCTAAATATATTCAAAATAGTGGTATTTCAAAGAGTGAAAAGCAGCACAAAAACATGACCATGATATATTAGTACTTTTTCTCTGTTAAACCAATCAACTAATTTCATCCACTCATCAACCCATTTCTGCATATCCTAAAACTGAAGCATTACAACACCCCGACAGGTTAACACTAATGAAAAGACCCAATGTCCTTGGAAATAGAAAATATTTCTTAATTGATATGCCAGTTATTCTTGAGATTAATTACTTAGTTGTTACTTTAGGATATATAAAAATCCATCAAATTCTAGCTTCTTTATAAAAAAGGACTGAAGATATTAAGTTTAAAATGATACAAAACAGAAAAAGTAGTAAAGCCTCACATTGCGAGACACTTCACAGTACATTATTGGTAGTTTTTCTTGAGACAACTTAAAACTTGATTGTCGATAAGATCCTGGCAATATGATAACTACTTAAGATGGACAACACCACAGAATGTTAGAGCCATAGAACAAGCCCTAAAGTCCCTAAAGTCCCTAAAGTCCCTAAAGTCCCTAAAACCAGTTCATCTATTTTTCCAATCATATTTCTCTCAACTCACAATTAACTGTCAAAACAACCTGGTGCATATCTAGCGGATGTTGAAATGTAATCATTACAAAACCACCACAAAGGCAAACTTTACTATCCTGCATCTCTTTTACCATCTCTGTCTTTCTTCCATCTGTCTCCTCCTCTCTCCCTACTCACCCAGAGGAAAAAGTGCAGGGCATTGCTGCTGTACAGGCCGCTGCCGAGGGGGATGAACACGGTGGTGTAGGCAGCCAACACGGCTGTCCAGGCTGGGTCGGGCCGGCCGAGCGAGTCCTCAACTTCCACCAGGCCCCTAGGCCCGACCCGGCTCACTACCATCAGGGCAGCAGGGGACCAAATCGGCCTGGGTGGGAGGGCCACAGGGAAGGGGGAGGAGGAGAGGGGCAGGGAGGGAGGGGGGGGTCGGTCAGTCTGCCTCTTCTGACATAGAGGCCGAGAAGGAAAGAGACGGAGACATAAACAGGGAAAGAAAGAGAGCTAGAACAGAGTGAGAAATGGTGGGGCAAAGGGGAGAGACGCAGAGTGAAGGGAGGCATGGGCTCCGACTGGAGGGTGGGAGGGGCAGAGTCAGGGGGAGGCAGTGAGCCGAGGGGTGGGAGGGGAATGTGGGGGCCAATAGAGAGGGAAGAGACTCTACCAGAAAACTTTTTCCTGGAATTTTCCGGCTTCTACTGTTTTCTTTTTCATGTAAATACAATATTTCCTGCCCTCCAGGCTCCATCACTATTATTTCCAATCACACCCTAAAACATTGTTTAGACCTGTCAGACCTCTGTCTCTCTGAACGTCCTTTGCTACTGATCCTCTATCCTTTACCACAGCAAAACAACTCAAATACTAACAGATACCAAAGAAAAATCATTCAAAATGTGTCATGTGTCACATCGACACAACACTTTGACTGAAGACTCAGTTCTTTCTAATACAGTGGAAAGAAATGATGTTCTCAATGAGCAGAGGAATAAAGCCATCCCACTGACTGTTAACACACTGATGTTATTTGTTTGTGCTCTCATGAGGGAAACATCTTTGTTGTGATATCATGTTGCTTGATAAACACTTAAAAGACTGTTTTGCACGCAGGAGTTTTTTGTGTTAGTGGAAGAGAGTATCAGTGAAAAACTGCATTATAAAATACAATGAATATTCTTTATTTATTAGTGCCTTTCGTATACATTTCAATGTTCAATTCATTTAATACAAGAAGTGTATTGGAATTCAACAAGAAGTCTTTTTGTAGTAAAGCGGAAAGACATTGTTATCTATCTATTGCAACATTTGACAGTGTTATTGCATATTTTCCTACATATTGTGTTGACCTAGCTGTAATGTAAACAAAAAGTGAAAGAAGAGTTTCCAAGCTGCAGTAACATCTGTTTTTTTTAGGTTTTTATATTTGCCTGGCCTGTGATTTTACCTCAAGACCAAAGGTTTTTAACTCAAATAAGTGGCATTGTAAGAGAAGCGGGTGCTTTACAGGTAAATAAATAGAAACTGGGTGGATCCACAGAAGACCCACGCATTACTAATGTGTTGACACATACCTGGTTTGCTGTTCAACCAGTTATTAATGGGAAAAACTGTGCGCATGTACAGCACTGACATTCAAATCTGATTCTAAGAGAAACATAGCTAAGGCTGAAGCCCAGGTGTGTGTGTGTGTGTGTGTGTGTGTGTGTGTGTGTGTGTGTGTGTGTGTGTGTGTGTGTGTGTGTGTGTGTGTGTGTGTGTGTGTGTGTGTGTGTGTGTGTGTGTGTGTGTGTGTGTGTGTGTGTGTGTGTGTGTGTGTGTACCAACCATTCCGTAATCCACTCCATTGGATATGGTATGCCTCCTCTGCTCATCCCGACCTCGCCCATGTCGCCTGGAGACGCCGGTAAATCCTGATGCTGATTCGCTCTGGGATCTTGGTAGACCTGAATTCCCAACACCTAGACAAATGAAAAACACACAGATTGAATCAATTGCGACACTGTGGTCTGGTATGCACTCAGCAGTTTGACTTGTAGTCTGCTGAACATAACATAGAAAAAAACTAAAATATGAAATGTACTTCCTAGAGGCAGTGCTTTAAAATAATTACACTGGGCTTGTAATGACATGCATGCAATTAAACAATTATGTCTGTTCTCTTATTCAGGGAAAAACTAAAATTGAATTATCATAAAAAGACCAATTGCCAGGTAATCAAGGTAAGTCTCAAAATTCTGACTCGGCAACAATTTGTGTTTATTGCACATTGTTTTAAGTCCATCAGCAACAGTAATCCATCCGTTTAAAATGTAAAAATAAGTGTATTGTAATGCATTGTATTTGATTCTTGGTGAATAATAAGTGCATTTCAAATCAGTTCCTGGTGATTAAAGGTGACATTTAATCTCCTTGGGCAAAAAACCTCCATGCCTGCAGGCAGACAGTAAAGAAGAACATCTTAAGTATAACAGATAAATCATTTATTAAGACACAGCCATGCGTTCCAGCTGCCAGTGTGCACCACAGGAGGGAGCTGTACTATCAATCATGGTCCCTTCTTTGATTACCTTACTAGGATGAGTTCAGTGGAGTAGAAGGAAATATGTGAAGTATCTGAGTTCAAACAAACTTCAGAGAAAAAATCTCAGGAGATTTAACACAAGACTAATCCTTGAATTAATTAAACATAAACATTTCAACAATTAGGGGTAGGGCTTCCTAAAAAGGCTAGTATGATTTTTTTTAATCAAGAGAGCCCACTGAGTGATTTTGAATTTTTGAAGACTAAGACGCATGTCCACTTTAAAGTAAAAAAAGGTATTTAGATTTGCGCTTCTAAGCTTACTTTTACCTATGTTGTGCTTTGGGAAAAAATGACAAGCAAATGCTATCTGCCAAAAAAGAACATGTGATATGATTGAAAGCTATTTAAGGTCCTTATGTTGAGATTGTTTAGTAAACTGCCAAACTCAAGGACGATTGTTAAAACTCAACTCAGTTGTTATAAAGATAAAAAGAAAATATGTCTCTCTCTGTTGGTTTTCCTACTACTCTCATTCAATCTCTGCTGCTGTGTGTTTGTACCTTTTCAATGTGGTTTAAAAAACATGTTTGATGAAGAGTTGTGAATTGTGTGTGACCTTGGCAAAGCATCTCAGTGGTATTTTTTCAGTGGTATTTCCCACATATTAACTGAGGTATTTTATCAGATTTTAACTATTGAGTGAACACCACTGCTGCATTACAGAACCACAAAAAAAGTGATGAGAGTGGCAGGACTTTGTGGTGATGTCCAGGGTGTTGGGGAGGATTTCACCACTGCAGTGATTCAGTGAGCCATGGCCTGTCTGCTGTAATCTGTCCTAATCCAGCAGGGTTTGGCTGCATGAGAGAGATTAGAGCATGGACATTACCCAACAAAAGTAAGGGGACATAATATATTTGGACAGCACTTTTTACATTCAGACAAAAAGGGAAATAAATAATTTGCTGCAGGGATTTTCTACAATACAGCCACAAAAGCAACTGATGTTCAACTGTAAAAAGCATAACATTTGATATTTCTAAATGACAATAATAGCATTATACAGGCCTGATACACATGTAAAAATGAGGATTTAGAAGTAAGTGACAAGGTTTAACAGTATTGCCACAGTGAAATGGGAGAAATTAATTAATTAATGTGGTAGACGAACAAATTGTCAAATATATATGTTTTAGCATTAAGATTTACTTTTTATATTTGAACTGAAATAAGACAAACTACACAAAGTTATGTGATCTATTGGCCATGCAGTGTATATTTGTGTAATATTTCTCCATCTGAACGAAAACACTCACTTACTTATGAGTGTAATGCAAGTGTTGGAAGCTGTGAAAGCCCTGAGGGACGAGGAATGTGCAAGTGTCACTCTTATAGCTCCGGACAGGTCTGGCTATAGAGGGATCATGCGAACTCGGACAGACGTGGCGTGTGTGGTGTGTGTGTGTGTGTGTGTGTGTGTGTGTGTGTGTGTGTGTGTGTGTGTGTGTGTGTGTGTGTGTGTGTGTGTGTGTGTGTGTGTGTGTGTGTGTGTGTGTGTGGTCTAGCATTACTATACTTGTGGGGACCTAAATCTGTTTACATAGTCACGTGTGGGGACTGGCCTCCCTTATGGGGACAAATTGGAGGTCCCCATGAGGGGAATCATTAATTTTAGGGTGAAGACTTGGTTAGGTTTAGGATTAGGGTAAGGTTAAGGGTAAGGGTTAGGGTTAGGCATGTGTTGGTTATGGTTAAGGTTAGGATAAGTCTCCAGGAAATGCATGTAAGTCAATGTAATGTCCCCTGAAGTGATGTATGGTATGTGTGTGTGTGTGTGTGTGTGTGTGTGTGTGTGTGTGTGTGTGTGTGTGTGTGTGTGTGTGTGTGTGTGTGTGTGTGTGTGTGTGTGTGTGTGTGTGTGTGTGTGTGTGTGTGTGTGAGAGTAAGAGAGAAATGTGAAATAGCTCTCCCTATGAATGTGAGATAAAGAAGAATGAAAGTGAGTTTGTATGAGAGCGAGAGATAATGAGCAGGCAAACTGGGAATTTACTCAGCAGCACATCATCCAACGTCCAACCTACATCTTACTCACCAAAGAGAACTGAACAAATGCACGTGCATACATCTGACCATTTTCCTTTCCAGAGTCAGCCAGGTCGTGGCAGGAATAACTCTGCCTTCTCTACAAGGCAAACCCTCAAGATAGATACATTCTGCAGGAATTTCTGACACGACCTCTGACCTGACCTAGGGTTAACAACCGCAATTATTCAACTAACCAGCAGTCACTTAACCAGGGCCTGTTTGAGCTGTGACATAACACTGATATACCTGAGAAGAGTGTTGTCAAAAACCAACAATAACTGTTGTTGACCCCCCATTAAGGATTTAGAAAAATACTGCCTTTTAAAGTTAAAATGTTTACATGTCTAAGGCTCCCTCTGGATGACATTTGCTGACATGCAAATGAATGCACACTGCAAATGTTGTGCACTTGTATGCACTACATGGATCAGTGCGTCCAATTGAATTAGAATATGAAATTGAAGCTGGAAGACGACATATCAACCAAGCTATGCACATAATCAGGTGGCTTGTTCATGTGAATTCATTTTCAAGTGTATTTTGCTCTGTGTTCTGGCGTGTGTTCGAGGACACATATACTCTATCTAAGATCTAATCATCCTCATGCACGTTTTTAGGGGTCCAGATAAGAATTTGTCTTTGTTTGAAGTCAGCAGCTAATTGAAACTAAGGCACAAGTTGAATTTCTTTTAAATTTGTTGACAACTTGGATGGGAGTGAAATGCAGATACAACTGCAGGTTGTAACTGTTTTCTTTTTTATATAATTATAATTGAATATGTTTGACTTTTGTACAGTTATTAAGACAAAACAAGCCATTAAAGACATCATCTTGTGCTTTTATGGAAACCACTTTAGAAGGAAATGACCCATATTTTTTTTTTTTAAATAAACACTGCAGCATTAGTTGAGCAACAAATGTATCAAATCTTTGTGGTATAGTATACCACAACGTATAATAGGCCTATATAGATACAACTGCATGACATGATCAACCTCTGTTAGAGCTGTTGATTCTTGGCATACGAGATCAGAGCTCAATTGCATTTTGTATTACGAGTGTGTTGATGTTATTGATTTTAACACAACAGGTTAATTAGTTATTGACATGAGTCCTAAATGAACCCAGTGCACTGTCCCCAAACCCCCTCACACACAGACAACATTTATAACGATTCACTTTCATGGTACCACTTACTTGATCCTTGTAGCTGCGGCGACTCCAGAGCGAGAGACTCAATGGACCTGACCCGGCTCTGCTGCGGCTGTGTGGGTTTGGGGGCATGGCCCGGTTCGGCCCGGTAACCCCCGGCCGCCGGAGCCCCTGGGTTCTGCTCCAAACCCCGCACGGGCCTCTCAAAGACCGCTGGGTACCGCACCGGTCCACACGCCGGGTACCCGGGCGCTTCCTCCAGCCTGGCCCGGCTCTGCAGGGAGGAGGTCCGGTGCTGCAGGGTGTTGGTCACGTTGCTCGGCCCCAGCGGACGGACCTTGTTCTCCACCCGAGTCCCCACGCTGCATGTGGACAGCGGGGCGGGCTTCTGCTGCGGAGCCTGCTGTGGGTGCACGGCGGCGTGGGCCTTGAAGTGGGCGCTGTGCTCCGGGTTGAGCATGGAGTAGCGCAGCCCCGCGACGAACCGCTCAAAGGTGAGGCAGCCATGCGGTGGGGTGACCCTCCGGAGGCAGCTCAGCACCCCGCCGGGCAGGTCCCGGGTGTCTGCCCCCTGCCAGCGGGTCTCTATCTCTGAAATGTGGACATAGCCTCTGCCACTATCATCCAAAATGTCAAACAGGGTCCTCAGGCTGTGCAGGAAGGCTTTGGGCAGGCCATCTGTTGAATAGTCCGACTCTTTAGGGTGCACTTTGGCGGCTCTAAAGCCCTCCGTGTTGCCTTGATACACTTCTTTTCTTGGTCCAGCTCGGCCGTAAATCGCCGAGGTCCCGTTCAGTTTGCAGCCCTGATCGGTCACTATCAGAGCCATGAATGAGCTGATAATGCGCGCCGACTAATCAATCAAAAACACACAAGTTCGCTAACTTTGTATAAACACGCAGCACAGAGCCCAGAACAATACAATAAATATAAGCCTACTGAGCAGGAAAATACATATCCTAATAAAGCTTTTTAGGCTGAAAATGTCCTACAATTCACTGTTCTGGTCGTCCACCTTCCAGTCAAAACTCCGCTGGTCTGATCCATACTTTCCTTTTTCTACCCAGGACCGCCCTTCAAACGGTTGTGTGAGAGCGTCCCAGGACAACCGATTGGTCGCGGTGTGCACGAGCTCAGCGCTCATTGGTTCAGGCTTGAGGTAGGCTCCAGTTTGAGTTGTGCTTTTGTTATTACTAATGCTGAGACGTTATTCATAAAGCCTGCATATGATCACCACCCCCTACACATAATCACAAAGAGCTGGATATCACCTTACAGCCCACACACACACCAGTAATGAGGAGCAGAGCCCCTTTGTTTCATCATGAAATCACTTGAAACTTTGTGTGGAATTGAATGTCATTTCAATGGTTAAGTTAATCCATTTAGCCTATGTTGATTATATGTTTATAAAATCCCTGTAAAGTTAAACACGCTAATGATTTGATGGCTGATATCTGACTGTCACAGTAAACCTTGTAATATAATTTGCTGTAATGTTGTCAAATGTCTTTACCCATAAAGGTCCCAAAGAATCCTTCAATGTGGATTTTTTCGTAAATTAGTTTAAAAGTAAAGCTTTACATTTGGAGATAAACAGCTACCACTGACAGAATGGCTATACAATTGTCACCTGAAAAATAACTAAAGCTGTCAGAAAAATGAAGGGTTTAAAGCACAACATGTATACCTTTATGATGAAGTATAAAGTTACATAACATCTTCTTGTTATGTAGCTTAATTACATGTTTTGTTTTATTCCTACCATACCCTATTTTACCCCTTTTTATTTCCATTACCTTGGCTCTCTAATACAAATGTTTGAATTTGTGTTTACATTTCAGTTTTAGGGGGATTTGTAACAGGTTCAATTGTAAGCATAAAACTGTTGATTGATGTTGTTACACTCAAAAACAACAGCCCAAACCCCCCAAATGGGTTTACAATGACAATGTAATGTCATGTAATGCTATCTTAATGAAGTGTTAATGTATGTTTCTTCCCCCCTTTTCCCCTGCATCTTGGCAGATTTGAGATTATGTAACGGGATGTATTACCAGTCAGGCTGGAATAGCTGAAATCACTGTGCTCCACATCCAAGCACACAACACAAATCCAAGTTTCACACAAAACACATGGCAAACATCTCTGTGTTCAGGTTAACTTCTTCTGTTTTCTCTTCGTTTAGTGGTGAGTCACACATGTCTGTGCACAGACCCATGTTTGTCTCTGACCTGCCCAGACTTGAGCTCTCTTCTTGTCGTCATCTGTGAAATCTTCAGCAGTGATTAATGTCAAGGTACTGCACTTTCACAAAAGACTTCCTGTAATTGACCAACCTGTTGTACCAGGTATCGAATCACACATTGTTCCATACTTTGATTTCAGTGTACTTTTTTTTTAATTAGAAAAGGGGTTGAACGAGAGGACACAATCAATAAATCCCCAATTGCTGCTCCCCCTCCCTATGAAGGTCAATCACACACCAGTTGTTCTTGTTAACACATAAATGTGTTGGATTGATCATGACCTAGGGCAAGAGAGAAATCTAATACCCAATAATAGTGCTTCAGAGTATAGATTTTGATTTCTTTTTCACTGTGGGGCTGGAATTAAAATGCTTTAATCAGTGTTTGTTTTGGGGCGTTTTTGCTGGTTGTTATATAACCAGAGTCAGACAGAAAGAGAAAGAAAGAGGAGAAGACTCACAGTCCAGTTGCAGCTCAGCTCCCTCGCCTCACAGGGTCAGACAACTGAGCACTAACTCCTGCCCTCCTCATCTCCCTTTCTCATGATGTCACGCACATTCAGTGATGCCAAACACACACGCACACACACACACACACACACACTTTAGGTTTTATAAGGCATGCCAGTGGTTGCAAAGCGTGCCAGTTTATACCGCTGTTTGTTTTAGTTATTGAACATGTACAGATCCTCAGCTCCAGTCACTATCATGTAACACACACACACACACACACACACACACACACACACACACACACACACACACACACACACACACACACACACACCTTTTTCCCTCATTATCTCCTGTTTCTCTCAAGTCTTTTCCTTCAGCAGTATCAGTGTTCATGTGACAAAGGATTCGTTTTTTATGCAGAGACACACCAAAGTGAATTCAAATCCTTCAAATATTGGAGGTGTTTAATCAGATTTGAATGGGAGGATGTGAGCGAGAGGAAGCGATAGTGGGGGTGGATTTAAGCTGCACAAAAATAGAGTAGGAAAAAATAACATTAAAGCAAAGCTAATATCTTCTCTTCTGTTATTCAGGTTACCTTTACTAGGAGGCAGCTTTTCTTTCACAGACACTGTACAAACGTGTGTCACTGTACCGGTTTGAGCTTGCAGAAACAGTGGACTCTCTTTTTGCTTGTTCTCATTGAATCAAGCGTCTGGACTTTGGTTGTTTCGTTTACTCGGGGTCTTAAAGCTTGAAAGACTCTATTGTTTCAATGACCTGCACTCCATGGTGCAGGATTTAAGTGATTAATACCTTATTGTACAAACTAGTACAGCTTGAGTCCCTGTGTTTGTGTTTTTAAAAAAAAAGCTAAATGTAATCAAAAGCACACATTTTATGCATGTGTATTACAAATGTTTAAATTAAGGATCTCATTTAAATGCATTTTAAGCCGTTTTTTCTTTCAGCAGAAACACCACTGGTAGCAGTTTTTGAGTCAGAATAAAGATACATTTTTCCACAGGTTTGAAGGATCTGGTCGGACACTTCTCGACCTCTACTCAATATTCACCCATTTTAAAATCACACACAGCTTATAACATCTGCACGCACGGGTGATGTGAGATGGCATGATTTAGTTCAAAATGTAGCTTTAAATGTGGATACTTGCCAGGGAAAGATCTGCACCGTGCCACATGAGTCCCATGTCTGTATGTATTTAAATACATTTATTTTCTCGCTTGTATTTTTCATTATCTCTGTTTAGGTATTTTATGATCTTTGCAATTCCAATAAGGCACCTTATACTAAATTACTGGACTATTTTATTATAGAGATCCAGAGTTTGTTCAAAGCATTTTTTTTTTTAGCATTGAAGATTGTGATTTATGTTTTTATTATTACACATCGTCTTCAGAGGGTCATTTTGTTTCTTGTTTCATGATACTTAGTTAAGAGTAATTTGGCTGCTACAAAATTGCACGTTGCCCTTGGGACTCATGAAATACAGTTGGAATTCCCTTTGGACTCTTACTTTGAATGTCATTATTTTGGATACACGGACAAATTGCTGCTCAAGATGTGTCACAATTATACTTGACTTTTGGTTTCTCATACCTTTCATCGTATAAATTACAATATTTGGTGATAAAATGTTATAATGTTCAAATATTTAAAAGGAGGAATCATTAAAAGGTGATTTCTTCTCTGTAGTCCAAGACATACATGATTAAACTCATCAGTGTGGAATTTAAATCCACACATGAACACAGAAACTGGTCACTTACTGGTTTGGTTAACGGTTAACCTAACAGTAATCCAATAAAACAACTGGTGGTTGGTTTTGGCCGTGCAGTGTTAATTCTGTTGCATGTCAAACAAACACATCCAAAAAGTAATACCGGATCACAAGCTTAACGTTGGATTCCTCCTAAAAACCCAAACTAATTCCTGACCTATGATTCGGGAAACACATTTGTTTATCCACACAGTAATGCTGTTATGAAATACAGAAGCTCCACAAACTCTGGAACATGACTTCATTCATTTGATGTATTACACCAGGGTGCCAATAAATACAATATGTACCACTTCACAACCAGCACTTTCTCAAAGTTTATAATTTTTTTAATACATTTTTTAAATGTGTCGTTATATACAGTAGATTCACACATGTGTTTATATTTTCAGTCCATCACATCACCATATTTTGTCTTCTCATGTCCTTTTGATACCTCTGGTTTAGACACTGAAAGGTAAACACAGGGAGAGACAAACATAAAAACATTAAAGTCTGCAAAGTGCCTTCATTTGGTTTATCATGACCGAGGAAAAGAGCTGGCATAGATACATCTGCTAAGAATACTGATAAAAAAATGTATTCACTTCAATAAATTGCTGACGCATTTTTATTTAAACATGACCCAACAAGGCAGTTACTACGTCAAACACATCTAAGTTTCATAGCCTTCAAATATGAGCCATGAGGGATGGTGAGCCGGTCTGTGTCCACACACTGAACTCACCTTGTGGTGGAGATCTGTCCGGGACTTTTCCTGTCTCCATTAAGATCCAAAGGTCTGCGCATTTCTGCGTTTCCCAGCGAGTTACAGCATAACTCCCTACTGAAGATCCCACTGAGGGAGAACAGAGAGGACAGGTTAGAGAGGGGGGAGGTGAGATGGGAGGAAACGTTGAGAGTCTTGAGTGCTAAACCTTTTATAATATCAGGTTTAATTTCTCACCTATTGAAACGAGCAGGTTCCACTGTAGAGGATAAGGAAGCTTCTTCTGGAGGATACTCTGAATGGCAAATAAACAGCCAGCACCTGTAAAAGCAACAAATAAATGACACATCTCAATGACATCTCTTTTTGGGCTCTCCCCCTTAGTTAACTAATCGCTTTGGTCCAAGACAACTAAACTTTAGAGTTAATTCGTCTTTTTCTACGTTTTTAAATGCTGAATGACATATTTCCTTGATGCGACAATTAACCTTTCACCGAGACATTTTTGTTCCGTTGGAGAAAATAAAGTAACCTTCACCTTATTTAGTGATGATGAAACGTTAAAAAACTGTGACTCAGATTCAGTATCCTGTATCCATAACACTCGTTTTTATTTTGACAACATAACAAGGCCTCACTGTCATCCTGCAAATACAGGTTTTATTTTCCCTTTTGTTATTTTTCACCTGCTAAAGATCCAAGGAGGGTCAAAACATTGTCAACTGTCTTAAGAATAAATAAGGCAGTCATTACTCCTTTTTCTATGCTAATGACCAATAAAGGAGCATCTGCATGTGATGTGTGTAGTGTACCATCCTATAAGATAGGTGTACATCTCTTTATATTCAAAGAAAGTCCAATAATTATGTAAACTACAAATCTAAACGTATCTTAATAAAACTCATTACTCTATATGTTGAGTTCAGGGTGCACCATGTAATGAAAACGCTCTGCTTTACTGATACCAGAAACATTAGCAGATTATAGCTCCCTCTTGTGGTAAACATTTGTCAAAAAAAATATAATCGTCTGTAGTTTTATTGGTCGAAATACTTCTTATTTGTTGTTAATCTATAGACATGTAGGAATTTAGCTAGGTCAAATATAATCATATGTGAGGTTCAGGGACTGATTTAGGAACACTAAAATAACCAATGGCATGAAATAAATAATCCTCTATGATGAGAATAGAATAAATTACGTGTTATTTCAGTGGTATTACACAATTAAAATATATATATATTGTAGGTAAATAAAGAGTACTTACCAAGTACAAAGGTCCCAGTCCCCTTCATGAAGGCACCAGACTGACATGCAGCATAACTCTGTAAACCCTGTAGGACCAAGTGACAACAAACAGACAGCTTTTACTACACACTTTAAAAACATGTCTATGCAACTACACAATAGAAAAGGCACAATGTGTGCAGCAGCTTATTCACTGGACAGTCTGTGCCCTCCAGTGATATTCAGGCTGCAGAGATAAGAACTAAACGTAAACACAAAAACCCACCGGATGTCTCGCTGCCACCGCATCGTCCACTTTGGTGAGACCGATATTAACCATTTTGTTGACGGGGATGAAGCTGGAGGTTAGATGGAAAATAACATTAGCTCATGCCGAGACTGTACTCTGTTATAAAACTTCCGTACTGCAAACCAACAAATCCAGAAAGAGGGAGGAACAGCTGTTTGTGTGAAACACTAGTGACGCCTAACGGAGAGGAGGTAGTACTGCAGCTTCTCGCTAATAAAACGTTTATTTTCACAGGCTACAAAACACAAAAACAGCACTTTAATCGAAGAAAGATAGATTATTCTGGTTGGATACAAAAAAAGAATAAAACCTAATATAACATTACAATAACACAACAAAAATATAAATTATTAAGGCATTAAATAATACAACAACTAATATTCAATTTGATCAACAAGGACGTTCAGAGTAAGCCTTTTAATACTGAATATAAAGTCTCGTAAATGTTTAGGTATATTTTTTTTCTTAAAGACAACGACAAATAAATAAAAAGAAATAGCTACAAAACTACATTTCATCTATCATCACTGATTCCATACATTACATTTAAAGGGGACCTATTATGCAAAATCCACTTGTTCCTGTCTTTTATACATAAACATGTGTCCCCTATGTGTAAAGAGATTCTGAAAGTTTCGGGAAATTGTCCTGATCCATTTATATAAAAACTTGTCTGAAAATGAGCTGATCAGAATTTCACCACTTTATGATGTCATAACGTTTTTTTGGCTTGTGTAACCATTAGCCAATAACCAACCAAGGTAAATAATTGTAAACTTTTAGCAGCATTAACTTTAATGCTGTGTTCACACCGGACGTGATGCGATGTTTGGGGACGGCGCAATTACATGTAAAGTCAATGCAGAGACGCGGACAGACGCAAATTCACTCCAACGGCGAGCATGAAGCGGTGGACGCGGCGCGAATCACGCGATTGAAGGGGGCCGCGTCAAACGCGAAAGTTCAATTTGTTCAACTTGAGCGTCAAATTCACGTGACGCGTTCTCGCGAAAGCCAATCAGCATTGGGATTCCCTCTGATGTCCTGCTGTTGATCAGTTGTAAAGATGGAAGAGATGATCGTTGTGGCTGTGAGTGGGTTCCCGGAGATATACGATACACTTCCACAGAAGGTACAAAGCAGCAATAGTTGTTCCTCCATAGTCAAGGACAGAAATAACAAAAACGATCTTGCATGGAAGTGTAAACAACCTCAACTGTCCGTCAACAGTATGTCTGTTTTGAATGACGCGATATAACAAACTGCAAGCCGCGGTGAAAGTCGAGCGTTTAGAGCGAAGCGAATATTTGCATCGCGTCCGGTGTGAACGCAGCATTAGGCCCAGTTAACAAATTAAAATTGGTGTTTCAATAAAGTCCTCTCAGTATCTTGTCTTTTTGTTTGTTAAACACCATGTGTGGCCCCAGGCTCTGCCACAACAGCAGGGCCCGCCGACCCCTCTGTTGAACCCTGACACCACACTGACCTCAAGATGTAGGAGAGAAAGAGAAAAAGAAGACGACAGAGAAGACGGTGGAGAGAAGCAAACTAAGTAACAACACAGAGGCTTAAATTAACATTCTTGTTACACAGGACAAAGAAGAAAGAATAGATAGACTCCAGAGATGCAAGTTTTAAAGCCATAGTTGAAGAAAGGCTTAATATGTCTTAAAGACATTCTAAACAGAACACATTAACTATAAATATAATTTGTAAGGGATCAAATATCAACGAGCCCTATGGCATTTGTCACATCACATAAAACTACTTGTTTTTATTTTCCATTTATCAAATAATTTTTTTTTTTTTAAACTTTAAAGAGCACTTCATACAAAAGATGAAGCTGGGAATGGGAAGTCAAGGTCCAAGGGATATCATATTAAAACAAAAAGGGTAACACTTTACTTTATCTATTTAGCATTTAAAGCTATAAGGTTAAGAACTATAAGTTATAACACCTTATTTCACATTTTAATATTAAAGCCTTTTAGATTGCTTTTATTACGAAACGACTTCCTGTGTTCTGTGACCAAATCATTTCCTACGTTGTGCACAAGCATCGTTGAATGGAAAACAACAGGTTAAGGTTTATTTTTATTTATTATCATTTTACATTGGAAAAGCAACGGTCAGATATCCCCCCCCCTCCCAACTTTACTTCCATTCAGATATTGTAGCTCTTTTATTTCTAGGTGATTAATGTTTATATTCTTACAAAACAAAGATTTCAGACACAATCTGTACACTCCAAAATCCAAATCACACCCCTCCCTTCGACCCGTCGATGACAAATAAGCTAACATGGGAGCCAAATCTTTAGTGCAGTGTTGAAAACCTGTTCGCACACACACATACAAAATAAACAATCAACGAGTCGCATGTACATCTGTGAGTTACATGCTTACTAAGTGTCTGGACTCCTCACCTAAGACACGAGAGGAGACGTTAAGCAGGTGCGCATTGTAGGAAATACAAGGAAGGCAGGCGATTAAGGATAAAATTGACAGAACAAATTTCACTTTGACTGTCGTGGTTCCAAATGAGATGGTTCAGTTCATAAAACCACTTTTCAAAGTACAATTCTCCTAAAAAGTTGTGTAAAAGGGGGGAATTCAAGTTTTACGCTCTAAGACGTCTCTCACGTGGAAGATTTCTAGTGACAATGATGGTGTGCAGTGTTTTCATGGGAAATCTGGAAGGGCAACACTGAGGAGGACTCACTTATTAATTCAGGATCAGGAAAGAAAAACAAGTAACAGGGTTGAAATGTTCAAGCCCCTCCCCCTTCCTGCCCAAAGAGATGTGACATAAAAAGGTCCCATATTGTCCATATTTTTCTAACGTTCGCCTTCAAATATCACCAGGACAAAAACATGTTTCACAATCAAATGTTTAAATAAATATAGCTCAATTGATAGAATTTATATTAAAAAATAACCCTTAGAGCAAACTCTCACACAAGAAACTGCCACCCTCCCCCGACACACATACCATAACCCTGCAGGTGCAAAAAGACATGTTGTCTGTTAAAAACCAGCAAAATAAGACTGACTGGAGGGATTTAAACCAGTAGATACAGGAGAGCCAAACTACGGGTCATAGTAGACTTTGGCAGAGATAATGATCAGAAAAGAATGTCAGAGAGAGATGGATACTGTGTGTCCGGAGAACAATACATTATTATTTTGTGATCACGAGCAAGCAATTTCTTATAAGGTGACCAACAACCGGTTTCTGTTGGATCATAACAAGACAAGAACTTTAAAAACACCCAGAACTGCTTTTTAAATACTAACTGGAGAATTTTGAAAATGCTGATTGAAAGAAAACAAAAATGTAATCCAGTTTCTTACAACGTGGTAGCAAAAGTCGAATCAAATTGATAGAAAAATGATAAACTGATGGGGCGAGAAACTTTCTAGAAAGAAATGAAAGCCTTTATTTGGCAGCTACTTTATTCTAGAACAGTGAAGAGATTTTAACCCACCAATTAATGCTTAAATATGAATTTTAAAAATGGTGTAATATGGCCCCTTTATGAAGAGAAAAGTCATACATTAACCCTGCCCATAATAATAATAACCCACGTTGAGCTTTTAAATGTCTTTCAGTAAACATTGGCAGCACAAACACATACATACACACACACACACACACACACACACACACACACTCATACACACTCAATACTGGTAGTGTGATTCAATCAGTGAAATCTCAAATATGATGTGAGTGGGCTGCGTGGGGGGGGGTATGACGGACAGGGTGTCGATGACCGTGAGGAAGCAGCCCTGTGCACCGGAGAGGGAGCAATACAGTGAGAAGGTCCATGTCCCGTTGTACCAGCTGAATGACCGGGGTCCCCGTTCGCACAGATGTCACCACACCCACAGCTGGGGGGGGGGGGGGGGGGGGGGGGGGGAACTAAAGTGGATGACGACAAGTGTCCATGTTGTGGTCCAAAGAAGCTTGTCCAGTTCTTCGACAAGACAACCTTTTCCCCCTCGCATACAAAATCCATAGCAGCAGGTAGAGCTCGAGGGTCTCCCTCCTCGAGAAAAATAATGAAAAAAATAATACCTTTTCCCGTCATCCAGAAACCAAGCTATGGAGAACTACAGTTCTGGGAAGTGGCAGATGTCTTTTTGCTTTTACTCTCCTTCCCCTCCTCCATCTTCTTACCCCCTGAGTCCATCAATCAATCGAGCTACCAACATTGTCCTCTGTCGTTAGTCTCTTGTCAGCAATTCATCCCCGCTCCCATCCCACAAGTCCAACCCTCCCCTCTCCTGCTCTCCCTCCTCCTCCTCTCCCAGGCGAGGGTGAGGGTAGATCATCGCTCGGGCTCCGACTCCAGGGCCAGCACCCGCTTGCGCTCGCGACACTGCTTCTTGTGGGCGGGCCAGTCCCTCTGTTGGCACTGGGAGCCGCAGTAGCGCGCCACCTGGCAGCGGCCGCAGATGTTGAATTCCCGGAGCTGCAGAGAGAAGAGACGCACGTTAAGGCGAGACAATAGGGACAAATGTTTACCTTAAATATATCAGCTAGAAATCTCTCCAGTTAATGACATATATTAAGAAAATAGTTAAAATACAAGTTGTCTGAAATAGCATGTTTAAATATGCAAATGTACCATTATCTCATTAAACATTTCAGGAACACAATTCTGAACTTTGGATAAAGCCAGGTTCAAAATTCTTGTTTCATGTTGTAGTCATATTATAATCTAAGGCTTTTACAGAAGGGATATTGGATATCTCTTTCTATCACTCCATAAAATCAGAAAATACTGTCAACAGCCCTAAATCAATTTTCACCATGTTTTTAGGTATAAAATGTTGTATAATTCAGGCTATGAATGATCTATGAACAAACCCTTCTGTAAAAGCCTTCAGAATATTGATAGGAATATAACTGGAAGGTTTGGTGTATCTACGTGCTACTGAAGTGGAAATTTCGAACTCAGAGTAGGAGAAAAAACTCATTTTTCCAACACCTTAGCAATGTGGTAGACTACATAATTTGTATATATATATATAACACACATGGTCTATGCAGTATTGCTAATTTCAGATGAAGAGAGAACTTTGCAATGTCAAGTAATTTCACGCTTTTTCAAATATAAAGCAAAATACAATCACACAATAATAAGATATTAAGCATAATCAGGGTTTTATCAGGTGCTGGAAATCCTTAAAAGGCTTGCATTTTAAAATGTCATGGATTTTTTCCTACATCATCCCTGAATAATTTCAACACGTTTTTTATGTTTAGAAATTAAATGTAAACATTATCATCATTATATTACCACGAACTTCCTCATTGTCAGTGAATTTTTTTTTAGGGAAATCTTATCAGGACTTAAATTAAATCACTAATTGATGGTTTACATATGAAACTTCTTTGTCATTTTAAGTGTTAATGGTAAAAATAAATACTATTTAGAATTTGGATTGGATGAGGGGAACATTTTGTAGTTTTCATTTTTTCCCCTTATAACATAAATAAAATGTAATTCAAAAACTAAAAACATTAAATGGATTCAAATCTGACAATAATATCATAAACATGCAACAAAAAGTCGAGGTACAGTACATACTAGGGATGCGCGATAATTATCGGCCCGATAATTATCGGTCCGATATTAGGAATTATGACGTCATCCCGATAAACCCGATACCAGTATTAATAGCCCCGATAATATAAAATATATTTTTTGGGTTAAAAAAAAAGAAAAAAAATACTGCGGTGTGGGTGGATTGGGATGAGGGGCGCTTGTTTTTCACTCGGCTCCTCCCGTTTTGCCAGTACTGTGGTATTAATGGTTTAGGAAGAGGGGAGTTCTTCACAAATCCAGCGCTCCCTAACTCATGCCTGGCTGTGACGTAAATGGTGTGCGGCCGTGAAGCCAGGACAGTAAACAAACATGTCGTCGGTGGTATGGGCGTTGGAGCTATGTGCAACTCAAGGCTCGAACCGGAGCTGCCTGGACGCGGCAATCATGTTGCGCACTATCCGTGCTGAGTGTGCTGACTTTTCGTACAATGTCCCACTGTCTGGCTTCCTGCATAAAGTCAAGTGCTCGGCGCAGTTGTGGCGAAATGTCGCTCCTCTGTTTTCATTTAAACAGCTCCGTATATCCGTTAGCGCAGCTAGCTAGCACCAGATGCTAACAACAACAATGCACGTAAGGTCTCTCGCTCGCTCGGGCCACACATACACACACCCTCCCGGTCCTCCCAATAGCCAGTCGGTGCTTGCCGGTGAGCGTGGAAGTGTGGTCTGCCACAAGCGGGCAGCAGGAGCGGGGCTGTCAGCATCAGCTTGTAGATGGTATTTTAAACTCGATGCGCTCTGAAACTACGGGGCGGCCGAGGAAAAAAAATACACATGCGTTAATCGCATTAAAATAATTAGTGGCGTAACATTTTTTTTGTTATCGGTATCGGTCTTGAGAAGCAGGAAGTTATCGGTATCGGTTTCAAAAAACCAATATCGTGCATCCCTAGTACATACCCTCCTCTCGATGAGTGAACAAGGAGGATAGTGACACTCGTAGTAGGTGCAGGAGCACTCCTCTTCCTCCACCAGCTCCCCGTTAGCGTTGTAGTAGCGTGTGCGGCTCAGCTCCAGATACTGCTCCTCCACCGGGTCGGCCGGCACTTGCTGGATGGCCAGCCAGTACAGAGACTGCTCTCTGCACACACAGAGAACATGGAGGAAACGTTAGGCCTCGTAACAATAAATATTAGAGATGCTCCGATCGCCGGAATCAGTATCGGCCGATACCAATCGAGTGGGTGGGGGCTATGGAGATCTTCCATTCAAAGTGATGTTTAAAACTCAGTTAATGGGGCTCAGTTAATGGCGCTTCCACAAGCAACAACCAACATAATTATGACATTCAAATGATGTACATTATTCAAGTTTACATTAACTTTGGATAATAACACGGGAGAAATGAGCGGAAGCGCTCTCTCTCTCTCTCTCTCTCTCCTGACAACCTGTCAGTATCGTCTCATGCAGCTCTCTGATCCAGTAATGAGTGACCCGGCAGTGAAGAATAAATATATGTATAACTAGTTTAGCTTGTTCCAGAGGTAGATAAAATGGCTAAGTGTGTAAGGTCTAACTCTTAGTGCGTTTTGCTCCGCTCACCGGTCCGTCACAGCGGGTGGAGCTACAGGATTTCTGCTTCACACACGTTGCATACCGCTATTTTACTGTCATTTTCGGACACCTTAAAATACTGCCAGACTGGTGAAGCCATTTTGGCGAGCTTGTATCATGTATTTTACGTCATGTGATCGGCTCTCACGATCAGCCTTTATAGAGAGCACCGATCGATCGGCAGAGAGTGAATATCGGCCGATATCGATTGGAGCATCCCTAATAAATATTGATGAATACGCTGTAAGAAACCGTATACGATGGGCTTTTAACCAGAGGAACATTAACTTTTATCTATAACTCTCCATAAAGTAGAAGTATCAGCCAAACAAAAATACAAAACAACATGTTTTAATCATTAATTAAATAAGAAAAGAAATGTCAGTACATGTCAGAATCAGGTAAACATTTACTTATTTTTCTGAGCAATTGCTTATATCTATTTTGCTGTCCCTCGAAACAAGACAAATTGCGGATGTGGAACACAGGCTTTGCTATTGCCTCACAGAATCAGACTGGCTTTGCCTACAGACACAACTTCCAGCTCGTGCACGCTATGTTCCTACACAGAGATAGAATCATAATCAGCCACTTCTAAAAAACGATAGCTGTAGTCTTACCTCTGTTTGCTGGAAATCTCCTCCGGCTTGGGGCTCCAGCCCACTGGCACCAATCGCAGGTTGTCTAGCCGGTTGTCCACGGTCACAGAGTTGATGTGGATGACCTGAAAGCTGGGGGCGATGCCTCCTCTGTGCTTCTCCCTAGGTCAAGACACGTATCAAGATAATAAGTCAACCAGTCTCTCACCAGTTACAAAATAACAGCGGCTCATTAAGACGTCATCCACTGATGTAGACGTGCTGGGGAATATCCTTTGCGGCACCTTGTTTTATAGCACTTTGGTAATTTTAAGGAACAGCATTTATTAGACATAAGAGGTTTTATACTTACTCTAGGTCAAAAGAAATGTGTAGCTCACCATACTTAAGATAAAGACCAATAACAAGTGACTGTTAATGCCAAACTTTTGAGATAAAGTGTACTGGTCCACTGTTTCTTTTGACATAAAGCTGAAGCAAACAGGAAAAGTTTTTGAAGGACAGAGTCAGCTACTAAGAACCAGCCTGCACGGGTATAGATAAAATCCAGTTTCTTAAGATAAAGAAGCACAAGGAGATTAGGTTGTCCAAGGTTTCAATGATGGCTGCTGCAAAGTGCCCTGTTTAGCATTCATCTTGCAAATATAACTGTTTTTGATCACGTTCTTGCAAGTTTAGGTTTATTATGACTCTTTACCTCAGACAGACAATAAGTCCTTTGTGAATATATGAAAACATTTCTTACCAGAGCAGCTCATGCAAAGGCCTTCCTGCCCAGCGGCCTTTGCCAATGTCGAAAGCGTAGGCAAAGATTTTAGCTCCATTGCCATCTGCATCTACCTCCATGCGCGCCTGGAAAAGAGACAAATGTCCTTTAAACATTGGCAAAATCAGAGAATGCAATTAAAAAATACTTTTACTAAACATGCAAACTTGTAGCTGAATCCTAATTGATTACCTCAAATGCATAGTTTTCCACAAGCGGTATGTCCTGTTCATCAATCAGTGTATATTTTGTCTGAAATGAAAGAATGGAGAGAAAATATGTTAATGTTAAAGAACCACAACTACTACAGTATCAGCCATCTTCTCATGACCTGCCAATCTTTTGGGAGCTTTACATGAAACCCAATGCGTTAGGGGTGTAACGGTATACGTATCGAAAATATTCGGTATGGGCCCTTCGGTTCGGTACACGTGTGTACCGAACGAATATAACGTTAAACGTAAAAAATTGAGAACGTGAAAAACGTTTTGGAAGTAATCTCAGGTGCTGCGATGCAGCGTTCGAGTAGCATGTTCCTGCAGCGTTCAGTGTAATGTCAACGCGTCATAGAGCGACCAAGTCATTTAATTGGACGAGAGGCATACTATGAGAGCTGGTCACAGGGATGCGTTCAAATTTAGTCAGTTGTTTGAGGAACTGTCGAAATGGCGAACGCAGATAAAGTTGAGCTCGAAAATCCTCCAGCATCACTGAAGTCTCCGGTTTGAGAACATTTTGGTTTCGCAGTTACGTACAAGGATGACGGACAAAGACAGAGGGACCGAACCAAAGCTGTTTGTCGGCATTGTTCAACTAAAATTGGTTACGCGACTGGCAATACATCAAACTTGCACACTCATTTGAAAAGGCATCACCCGAACGTGAATATCACCGGTACCAAAAGAAAAATGACTGAAGTGCAAACCCAACTCCCACTAGCATTTAAGCCTCCACCACTCGCAACAAGTTCAGTATCACTGCCATGTTAGCAAAGCGCTACCTGGCTGTATCTGCTACCTCTGAGAGGGTGTTCTCCACAGCAGGAGACATTGTTAGTGCCAGCAGATCTGCCCTTGCGGCAAGCAAGTTATTTTTTTTAATAAAACATGAAAATATAATGACAAACAAGCAAGTCCTAATGTCAAGCTGGCTGCTTAGTTGAGTACTATACAGTTCAAGTACAGATTATTTCAGTTCATCGAAATGCTGCACCTTAATGTTTATTTTATTATATTTTGTATTTATTTGAGTGAATATTCACAGTTTAATAATAATTAAAAACCCAAAACAAATATGTTATGTTTTGTGAGTACTAGTACAGTAAAAATACAGATTATTTCAGTTCATCCAAATGCTGCACCTTAATGTTTATTTTATTATATTTCATGTTGTGTGATCATTTGTTCTGCTGTACCGAAAGCGTACCGAACCGTGACATAAAAACCGAGGTACCGAACCGAAATGTTTGTAAAACAATATGAGAAAACCATTTAAAATGATGTAAAGGCTTCTCCCCTAGGGATTCACAAATAGCAGTTTCAGTAGAATTATTCAAATCAGCAAACTATTCAAGAATGTAATTTTTAATTTAGCAATAGCTTTAAAAAATAAAAAATGTTTTTAGCTACAAGTATTCTGTCCTCTTATTAACTGAATAGTTATTAACAATAGATTATTTCCAAATTAGGCTTTAGTCTATACTTATGCATGCAAGTATTATGTACAGACTTGCAAAGTCAAACAAGACTGCTTATTAAATCTAGCATGTTTTCCGAAGGCTAGTACAATAACAAATGATGAGCAGTTGTAGGTATGTTCAAACTCATATTTTGGACCTACAGGTGACAGCTGCAACACAGACATAAACATAACCCTAAAAGTACACGTCATCACGAGAATAAGCTTCAGCTATTTTGATCCAACATTATATCAACCACATCTGGACTCGAGATGTTGCATGTTTTAAAAAAAGGACCATCAGAGCATCGTGTTGATCGGTATACCCGAGCACCTCTGTAGGAAGGCGGGACTTCCTCACACGCACGTGACAAGATACCAACACAGCAGCCCCACGCTACAGAGAGCATGGTACACCTCAGCACAGGGTGGTGGTGTCCACATACCAAAAGGTTTAAACATGCAATGTGACACTTTGTCTCGACTGCCAGCCCATTGTTAACAGGAGTGACATTGTAAATAAGGTGTGTGACTCCTGACTGTAGATGTGTCTGTCACTCAGCAGGTGGGCAACTGATTCCTCACAGATTCAACTGGAAAGGCTCTGGACCCTTTATCTTGAGTGTCTTGTTGTGACACACATCATTCAGCCATAGTTTAACGCCTCACAAGTGTTGAATAGTAAATAAGGAACTAAAACACAAACAATATGCACGTTTACGGCCACAGATGTTGAATAAGTGTGCCATCCTGTCTATGCTTTGTCACGTTGCACCAAACAAATCAGTTGATGGAGCATAATGGCTTCCTCGTTAGCAGACACTTCAGTGTAATCCAAATAACACAGCTAGCGTGGCAGTGCTAACACTAACACCGACCGTTATAAAAGACAACAACCACCGTCGAACAGAAACAAATAAACACTATCTTCATTTCTACCCATCACCGGTAACGAGAAAATACGACCCCATGTGTGTTATTATTCCAAGGTTTAACGCCAGATAACAGTAACCGGCTACATGCTAGTTAGCGTTAGCTTCGAGGCTGTGTGGTGGCGGAGACAGAATACCAGTCTGCCTCGGCCGGCTCCTCTAATCCGTGAACTGCGAGTGAAATCACTAACGCTGGTAATGGGTTGATAACCATTAAAGCTGTTCAACAGCATCGACACGTCACTGCGAAACCATTTTCCATCGCCTTTTGTGGTCCCCGCGGGCCCTCCTACCCCGGCCGCACATGGCAGTTCTGGGATCCAGCTCACCTTCCCGGCCACACGGCCGAGCCGCACGATCCCGAGCTTGAAGTCCGACATCAAGAGGACGGGCGGCGCAGACACGTATCCAACCGAACCGGTGTTCAGGTGTAAAGCTCGCCGGGGCAGCCCCTCAGCCCCGCTGTGATGCCAGTGTGGATGAACTCGGTGTCTGTTCGCCCTGACTCCGGGTCTCTCCGGCAGCAGCGTAGCCTCGGTGACACACCACCGCTGCTGCTGCTAGCGCAGGAAAGCCGAGCTGCTGGGGGGGCGGGAAGGAAAGAGCCAACAGTGAGGCCGTCCAATCAGCCGGGACGTTACGTTTTCTCTCATACATAACGTCCGATCATGTCGTCCAACAGAAAAAGACTATTTTTAACGACTGTCTGTTTCAGGTATTACGTCATTACACTCTCGTGACAACTTTTTTCGCGCGAAATGTTTGATGGGTGGATAGTGTCCAGTGTCAAACATGGTTCAACAATAATATGCAATGCCTCAAACAGTTGCTTGACCCACATTGTCTTCTTATTAATTATTCTATTTGATGTCTATTTATAATATCTTAGTCACCTCAAAAAACGTTGCTAGTTTAAAAGATGCTAATCCCAAATGCTTCATTGATGCTATCCAGCAAATACTTATTTGCAAAGAAAAAGAAGTGGCACTAATGTGAATTGCTCCTTTTGTGTTTGAAAATGAAACAACCATAGTTGTATACTTTTACATCTCGAACCGTCTATGATTTTTTGTTGTAACTATCACTGAATTTACAAAGGTTATTTATATATTTGCACAACGTAATTGTATTGTAATGAAGGCTAACATCCATTGGCTGAACAGGTAGCCTAATAATAATAATGGCATGTCTTGATGTCTATCTTTGAGTTTGGTATTCAGTTCCTAGATCCATGCCTTCTACTCATCTGCTGAGCCGTATTTGACGTAAAAAATGTTGCTGCTAAATCAGCTTGATGATGTGAGACCATTGAGTATTGTAGCCTATATGCTGTACATCAGTGTCACATCCATCCACTGAAAATATAAAGCAAAAAGAAAGAAATCATTATAGAATGACTGCTTTTTGAACATACATTTTAACTATACTGCAATTTATATTTCCACAAATTCAAAGTAATGTACAACTTATTATTTTCATCCCAACACTCATTGATGCTCACAGTGCAGGCCCTATATCCTTGTTTTGATCCCTCACAAATGATCTTAAGGACCTGACACAGTATCAGCAGCGTTTTCTTGCAGTTAGCAAAGCAGGTGAGCACCCTCTAGGGATCAGGATCTGTATCACAGAAAACTTAGAAGATTTAAGAATAATTAGGAAAACAGGAGTTTTACTTTAAAAACGTTTTCATTAATTGTTGATGATCAGCAGGGTTTCCCAACAAATCTTATTTCAATTATATAAGGCATATTTATACTAATTTACTTTAGTTAATTTGTGTATTAGTGTATTGAAAAGTTAAACATATGTAATGTTGTTCTTAATAGGAATAGCATTGGTGAGTTAAAGCGGTTGCCTTGTGCCAACTCAACGTGTTTGCAACATTACATTTTTGTGTTGTTGTTTTAACTTTTTATGTACAGTAGTCCATGCGCTCTGTCTGAAGTTGATGATGTAAAGCCTGGCTAGTTCTTCCCATTACAAAACAGCTTCTTTTTTTTGGGAAACAATAGCAGTCCTGTGCCTTTGCTTTTCCCATTTTAGCTGAAATGAGGAAGCACCTTGTCTCAGCCCGAAGGCACCACTTTTTTTCTTTCAATCACCCATATCGAGTTACTCACAGACATGGAGCTGGGAGGTGTGGCATTTCCTTTTGTGGGTTTGAATTTCTTGAGATTTGATCTGTTTCCTCCCAAATACATGTGTAGCTTTAACAACAAGTCTTTCTTTTAAGCTTAGTTTTTAAATGTGAAGCATTTTACTCCCCCTTTTTAAAAAAACAAACAATTGTCATTGTTCTCTTCAAGGAGTAAGTTAAGGGGAATATTTTATCAATTGCCTCTAGGATTTTATGACAATATTTCATTGGCAAATTTAATAAACATATATGGAAATTGAATTCCAATAAAATAAATAAAGTCCAAATGAAAGTCAGCACAATGACTCAAGAACGGCTCATACATTGATCATTTTTGTTTCACACAATAAACTGTGAAACACAGTTTATGCTTTGTTTAGTTGAAAGTTTGTTTAAAAAGATACATGCAACACCAATGTAGCCTAGATGAAAGTCAGGACTTCTTGTGTAATCCTTATATGATAATAGCTTATCATTGTATATGGCGTAATAATAATTTACGATTATAAACTGGATATGTTAGTAAATGTTGTGGAGTTGGACACACCCTACTGTTGGTTTATAAATGGAAGCACTTCTTGAGATGCTAGTTGCAACCAAAACCAACTCACTGCAGAGTCACTATAAATGAATGAGCCTGGCCATCCATGAAACAGACCATCCTTCTAAAGAACATTTGTTGTTATTGTCTCTGAATTCATAAGCTTTTCCAGACAGGGTGTTACTCACTTTATTGCTGAACAGAGCTGTCCCGAGGTGTGGCTGCACCTGATCTCTGGGCACACACATATGATGAAACCATTTATCCATCACACCTCTCCGCCCTGGAAAATGTGATTATCCTCTCCCACAGGTTTTTTTTCCTCAATGGTATGTAAGTAAGCAACTTCCAAATGAAATTACTAAACTGAAACAATCCTTGACTGGATGACATTGTTCTCAACTGTTAGTTTATTTGTTTTAATAATTATCAGGTTATCATTATTCAGAATGCTGATGTCGTAAACAATGTTTAACAAACAAAAGAAAGAAAGAAATTCAATTTTTTTGTCATGTGAATATAGATTGTGAAGAGTTTTGTCTAATGTAAAGTTACAACAAAAGTCATTTAATTGTTTTAAAGATCAATTGGGTTATAAAATGGTTTGCACATACAAATGGGGATATATAATATAAAAGATAAGGGAAAAAACATTCCTAATATAACAGTGAGAGGCATTTTAACAAAGTCACCCCTCTTAACTGTTTATGAACGTTTTTGTGAATATCAGATAGTTCAAACAATGTTTTCTGATATTCAAAAATGTAAATCCTTGTGTATGTATTTCTCTTGAATCCTGTTACAGATTTAAACACATCAGCATGTTTTATCATTTTAGTTTATTTGCATACATCATTAGTGCAAGCATTGGAGTTAAACATAGACTAAAAAAAACAATAGCAAATCATCCAAACATAGTCCAATGTGTTCAATGCAAAAAGAGGTAAAGTTCTTAAGTGACCAAAAATATATATTTTTAAAAGGTGGAGAAACTGGAAATGAAAGAAGGTTTTAAAGAATGAAAGGTATATGCACATTGTGATGTTAGCTTTTTATAAGGCCACTACTAGAATATAAACACCAGCTTGTGATGTATTAGGCTACAACACAATTCTAAGACGGTTATCAGCTGACGCCCAAATCAAACAACTGAGAACCAGAAGAGCAGAACGTTTTTTTCCATCTCAGCTCTGACCTCTGGTGTCCATGTTACTTCCGTGTTCTGCTCACCTGTTCCACCTGTATTACTGCGCCGCAGGTGACTGTATGTGCGTCTCGATGCACCTGCTGCGTTATTCTGCCATGACCGAGGAGCTCACAACCTGCGAGTTAACATGCCCGTCTTCACCGGAGAAGACTTTGGATGTTGTGAAAAGTAAACCGATGGATTTGGAGCAGCCTATTTTCTCGATGCTGAGCGGCGGGGTGAAGCAGCAGCCGGCGGAGGGGGACACCGCGGGGACACCGGCTGCGACCACCCCCGACACCGAGTCCGGGATCTTCTCCGGGGAATGTGAGCTGTGTGTGGAGCATGAGTCCGAGCTGGACTGGTTCTGTGGCACCGAGCAGAGACTTATCTGCTCCCACTGCACTATTGTGGGTCCCTGCCACGGACACTCTGTGACCCCTGTGGCCACCAGAGTAACCGCAGTCAGGGTGAGTGAACTGCTAATATTGTATATTAATGTCTGTTTTTAAATGTATTGCCTGAGTTTTGGCATAGTGTTATTAATATTAGCTTTAGAAATGTAAAAGGTAGATATTTTTTCTTTATTAGGATACCTTCAGGGTTAGATAATAGCCCAGGAATGTTACTTTCACTTTGTTTGAATGTTTGTTTAAACCTTTTTATTTGCCCTGTTATTTGCTGTTAGACAGGTTTAACAGATTTTCCTCATCTGCATTAGAACATATCATTCTAGATCCTTTTAAGTTTATTTTATGAAAGAAAATGTGGAGTTGTCCTACTTCATTCACTCACTCTGTTGAGGATTGTACCTGTTATTAAGTAATAAGGACTCACTTAAAAGTGTGGAGAATAATGCTCACATATTTGACAGTGTAAAATAGTTAGTAGGGCTGTCAGTCGATTAACATATTTAATCGCGATTAATCGCATGATTGTCCATAGTTAATCGCAAATTAATCGCAATTTTTTTTTATCTGTTCTAAATGTAGCCTACCTTAGAGGAATATTTTTCAAGTTTTTAATACTCTTATCAACATATGAGTGGACAAATATGCTTTATGCTAATGTTTATTATCATTTGAACAATGACAAATATTCTCATGAATATTAAACACAACAACCTCTGAACATTACAAATATTCGCCTCAATTCAACCTGGAACCTCTCTCATACAATAATACAATACAACTGGTGGTGTGTGTGTGTGTGTGTGTGTGTGTGTGTGTGTGTGTGTGTGTGTGTGTGTGTGTGTGTGTGTGTGTGTGTGTGTGTGTGTGTGTGTGTGTGTGTGTGTGTGTGTGTGTGAGATGGATCGTTGGAGCTATGTGCAACTCAAGGCAGTTGTGGCTAAATGGCGCTCCTCTGTTTTCATTTAAACAGCTCCTTATATCCGTTAGCGCAGCTAGCTAGCACCAGATGCTAACAACAACAATGCACGTAAGGTCTCTCTCTCGCTCGCTCGATCGGGCCACACATACACACACCCTCCCGGTCCTCCCAATAGCCAGTCGGTGCCTGCCGGTGAGCGTGGAAGTGGAGAGACAGCAAGCGCATTTCGTGGCATCTGCAGGCAGTGGCAAGTCCTTCCGGCATATGCCACAGAGGCTGCTACTCTGTGGTAGCTATGGCAAGTCCTTCCGGCATATGCCACAGATGCCACAACTTGCCGAGGCATCTGCCGCTGCTCAACGGGAGTTGCCACAAGATGCCAGAGTAAGAGAAGGTTTACTGTAGCT